GGGAGTTGGGGGAAATTGGAAGGGGAGGTGAACAATGAGAGACTATGGACTCTGAAAAACAATCTGAAGGGTTTGAAGAGGTGGGGGGGTGGGAGGTTGGGGGAACCAGGTGGTGGGTATTGGAGAGGGCACGGATTGCATGGAGCACTGGGTGTGGTACAAAAACAATGAATACTGTTATGATGAAAATAAATTAAAAAAAAAAAGATTAAAAAAAAATGTTTGCAGGGTCACTGAGAAACAATGGGACACAGAGGACTTTGATCAAATAGGCCTTGCTAGGTCTCTCCTTGTCTACCGTACCTAGTTCATATAATATAGTTATGGTGATAGCTCTCTTCCTGGAGTAGGTCTTCTGTCTAAATTGTTTTAGGCAGTTGTGGGGGAGGTAAAGAGCTTTTCCTGAATCTGCTGGGTTTTAATTGCTTTTAACTCAAAAATAATCTTCATGCCAAAGTGGACCATTTTGGGACAGCCTACCCTTGGCCCATACACAACAAGGGATTTGTATCCTTACCATATAAACTCTTATGAGGCCATTAAAGAAAAGTAGATGACAAAAAGAAAAATTGGCAAAGGGCTTGGGCAGACAATTCCCAAAGGGGATTTTAAATAATAATAAACATCTGAGGAGACACTTAACTTCTTTAGTCATTAGCACAAGGCAAATTAAAACCACAGTATGATACTACTACACACCCCACAGGAATGGCTCGAATGGAGGGGCACCTGAGTGGCTCAGTTGGTTAAGCATCCTCTTGATTTTCGGCTAAGGTCATGATCTCAAAATCCTGGGATTGAGCCCCTCATGGGGCTCTGCGCTCAGCAGGGAGTCTGCTTGAGGAGTGTCTCTCTCTCTCTCTGCCCTTCCCCCACTCATGCTTTTTCTCTCAAAAAATAAATCTTAAAAAAATGGTTCAAATGGAGAAGAGACACAAATCAAGTGTTGACAAAAATGTGTAGCAACCAGAACTCTAACTTCACAGCTGAAAGAAGTATAAATTGGCGCAATATTCTGGAAAACAGTCAGCTGTGGATACTAGACATCTGGCGCAGTGTCTGCTGAAGCAGAATGTGTGCGTGACCCAGCGAATCCACCCCCAGGTGCATACTTCACCAAATTGTGCCTATGTTCACCGAAAATCAACAACAATGAGAATGTTTGTGGCAGCACTATTCGTGAAAGCCAAAAGATGCACACACAAGTGTACACGATCGGTAGGATGGATAAGGAAGTGGTCGTAAGTCCAGACAACAGATGTGTTCCAGCGGTGAGAATGGATGATTGCTGCGTGCGGGAACGTGGATCTCACGACTGTGATGTTGAGTGGAGCGAGACACAAAGTGGGGGGAGAAATAATATTCTTTGATTCCTTTTATTTGAAGTTCAAAAAAACAGGCTTGAGTGATGGACCGTAGGAAAGGCCCACAGTGACCCCCTGACTGAATCCAGGCAGGCCCATTGAGCGAACAACCTCAGAACATCCATAGACCCTAACTGACCAATGGGCTACCTACAAGTAGGCAGTTACCAAAAAAGGGAAGATTCCATATGTTGCCATACCTCCTTCCCTTCCCCCTTTAAAAACTGCCTCCACACACTGCCTCATGGCAGAGAGCTTCTCCTCTGCTCTCCTACCTGCCACTGCCTTGGGGCATATTCAATAAATTTGTCTCCTTTGTTCTTCCTCAAGTGAATTTTTTCAACTTCCCATGCCATCAGTTCCACCTGATTCTTGCTCCAGTTTGGGGGGTCCACATCCAACCAGAGAGACACCACATTTAGACATCACACAGGTGTTAGTTACCAGTAGGGAGCTTGAGAGGTTTCTGGGCTGCTGGTTATATTCTGCTTATTGACCTGGCTGCTGGCTATCCTGGTATCCCTGTTTTGTGGAAATTCCTCAAGCAGTACACTACACTTTGTATCCTTTTGATATGTACATATGTTGTACCAGTGTGACAAGTTTGCTTAAAGGACACCTGGGTGGCTCAGTCCGTTAAGCTGCTGCCTTCAGCTCAGGTCATGATCTCAGGATCCTGGGATCGAGCCCCACATCAGGTTTCCTGCTCAGTGTGGAGTCTGCTTCTCCCTCTCTCTGTCCCTCTCCCCACCTGCTTGTGATTTCTCCCTCTCTCTCTCTCTAATAAATGAATAAAATCTTTTTAAGATTTTGCTTAAAATAATAAAAATCATTGCACAAAATAAACTGGAAATACTTGGGTAAGAATTATAAGAATTAACTGAGATTGGGGCTCCTGGGTGGCTCAGTCAATTAAGCATCTGCCTTCGCCTCAGGTCATGATCCCCGGGTCCTGCATCGGGCTCCCTGCTCAGCAGTAAATCTGCTTCTCTCTCTGCCCCTACCCCCTTTTTATTCTCTCTCTCTCTCTCTCTCTCTCTCAAAAAATAAAATCTTAAAAAAAAAAAAAGAATTAACTGAGATTATTCGTAACATTGTTATTACATTGAAAAGTCTTTACAAAAAGACATTGCGCACAAATAGAAGTGGAGCTATATTTTAAAGTTTTATTTATTTTTATTTGAGAGAGAGAGAGAGCATGAGAGGGAAGAAGGTCAGGGGGAGAAGCAGACTCCCCATGGGACTCCAGGATTGAGACCTGAGCCGAAGGCAGTCGCTTAACCAACTGAGCCACCCAGGCGCCCCAGAAGTGGAGCTATAAAGAATACAGCAAAGTGACGGCTGACGAGAGCAATGGTAAACTGAAAATGTAGCTTTTTATTATATTTAATAGTCTTGTTCAGAAAGGACACATCAGAGTAGTCCGAAAGGCTACTTTACATTTAATAAAAAATATGTGCAAATATTTCCAAATGTACATGTTTGATTTTTTTCATTTGTTATTGAAATTCATATACAATACTGGAATCTTATTCTATAGGTTAAAAATATAATAGAACACAACTTTAATTTCAAGTAAAATTTCCATTGACAATACAGATTTAAAAGTATGGTTACTATTCACAAAATGCACAGAAAAGGCAGTATTCCTAGACTGCGCTTGGGAAACAAGTCAGACTGTGTTCTTGTAATAGTCACAAGTGGACCCAAGATTTTACAAGACTCTAGCCTTATTGTAAAATGGAACTTTGGTATTTCCTTCAACTAATTAAAAAAAGGGGGGGCAGTGCACATTTCCTCTATTAAACAGAGGTATTCATCCATTTTCTGCAAGACTGTTCTATTCACTCTTAGAAGATGCGTCGCTATTACAGGCAGGTATTGATGTGGAAGTGGGATAATATCATAATCCTGGTTAGGCTGTTCCCAACAGGGGAGATATCTGTTCTAAATCATCAAAAAACAGTACAACCCATGAGTGAAAGAATATTGTTGCATTGCAATCCACAGCAACTCACTCCAATTCCGGTATGCAGAATGATTTGGGTAAGGGGAAATGACAGTGATATTTTAGTGAACTAGTTTGATATGACCACTGATAATAATCCTTCAGAAGTAGATAACTTGTTTCTGATCGTATTTAGGAAACACAGAGATAAGACATGCTGCTTTTGGATAGCTGAACACACTTGGGAATGTCACACATCTGTGCCAAAGCTACACTACAAATCTCAACCAGGCAAAACAGTGTCTTCGTTGGGCACCTGCGTATTTCTTTCTCCCTAGAAATCAAGTACAACTTCATTCACTGCAGTGTGATATATGGAAATAGTCCTCAGGACTAAAGTCTATATATTATATATAATACTGAGAAAACCATTGGCACTCAGAAAAGATTAAGTAAAAATAAAAGATACAAAATGTTCTGGTTTAAAATATGGATTTTTAAAAACCTATGTATTTTCAATGTGTATATTCCAAACCAACGTTTTTTCTTTTGATATTAAGTTCATTTAGAATGTTCTGTCTTAAAAAAAAAACAAAACTCATTTTAAACATAGACTTATATATAAGATGTTCACTTCTTAAATTTTGGGGGGTGATGGTAGTCAGAATTCTGTTAGAGATCACTGTACACGCTGCTTAAGTTTTAGACAAAAATATGAACTCGGTCTTATAAACATCAAAAAATTTTTTGTTCAAAATAACACCATTTTTGCATTCGATTTTAAATAGACCATACCTCTTTATACCTGTACATGATGATCATTCCTACAAACTAAATTAAAGCTGCATTTTTAAGCTGGAGACAATCTGTCATATATTTTATTTGATCTTAATTGTGATCCATTGACTATTATCATACCCAAAAATGACTTCTACCAACCACAATAATCTTATTGCTTTGCTTCTCTGGATCAGTGTTTCTAAAACAGATCAGCCTGGCTCTATAGTTTTTAAGTGAACCTTTTTTTAAAAATTTTGAGGTCTGTTTACATATCTGGTCTTGTAAAATCACATTGATTATTAAGTACTAAGTTTGCATTTTTAAAACTTTGCTTATGTATTTACTAAAAGCGATTTTTGGAGACTTTGATTGATAAATGTGTTAATAATTAAATTTCTGCAGTTATTCATTGTGACCCTACACTGTGACCAATGCCACTCTTGGGTATCCAGTTCAGTGAGAAATGATTTCTCTTTATGATACTCCTTCCTGATTCACCCACCCACGGAGGCTGTTGGGGCACACTTACCCCAACTAACAGAGGTACTCCAGTACCCACGAGAACACTGTTAGCAAATCTGTTGGGTGGACGGGGGGAACAGCAGCATCACATCAGCAGATCTGGACATGGCTAAATCACCCAGATAATTCTCCTCACCATTTTGCACATTTTAGAGGTAGGCTATCCATTTTATAAATAAAGCCTTTCCAAAAAATTCTTAGTGGTTCTCTTTCATTGGCTAAGAGGTTAAAAAAAAAAATCAAAGCGTTTTAAAAATCAAATGGAATGAGAATGAGTGTTTCAAGTCCAAAGAAATAGTCAATGCAGAAAATGTTTGCATAGAACGACATCGGTGGGTGAATTCTGCCTTGCAGTCCTTGCTTACAGCAACCTCCCGAGCCCGCTTTCAGGAAGCAAGACTACGCATAGCCTGCGGAAACGAAGGGGAAACAAAGCGTTCATACAACCGAATTCTCGTTCGGTCCATGTGCTCTTTGTTTTTACAAATATGATTTGATAGTTTGGGTTACTCACATTTGCTCATCTTAGGTGTGTATAGGGTAAAAACTTTATTTTGTACCTCATTGTTCTTAGATTTGTTTAAAAGAGAGACGTACTACTGATCAAGCACTCACTATGTACAAGACATGATTATTCTTTCACATACGTCCTTTAATTTCCACAACTCTATGAAGTATTACTATTTCCATTTCATGTGAAGAAACTGAAATGAAGACATGGTCAGTTATCTTCCCCAGGCTACCCAGCCAGTAGGTAGTAGATTTGGGGTGGACACACGTCTGTCTTGTTCTAAAGCTCATACCCTCCATGTCAGGTACTAATGATGTATTCTGTGTTGGCTAATCGAATTTAAATAATAAGAAAATTAAAAAAAAGAAATACAGCTCATACCCTCAAAACCACTCCACTCTACTACTACTCCTTTGCTACCCACGGAAACCCTACCTGAATGACCCTCTTATCTGTTACTTGGATAATGATGCCATTAGTTTATGTGGCAATCAGAAAATACTTCTGTAATGTGGCAACTTCTTAAGTTCCATTTTTAAAAAGATTTTATTTATTTATTTGAAAGAGAGAGAGAGAGAGAGAGCTGAGAGGGGAGAAGGTCAGAGGAAAAAGCAGACTCCCCGCAGAGCTGGGAGCCCGATGCGGGCCTCGATCCCGGGACTCTGGGATCATGACCTGAGCCAAAGGCAGTCACTTAACCAACTGAGCCACCCAGGCACCCATTAAGTTCCAGTTTTTTTTTTTTTTTTAAAGGCTTTATTTATTTGCCAGAGAGAAAGAGAGCACAAGCAGGGGGAGTGACAGGCAGAGAGAAAAAGCAGGCTTTGCACAGAGAAGGGAGCCCAATGTGGGGCTCGACCCCACACCCTGGGATCATGAGCTGAGCCAAAGGCAAATGCTTAACTGAATCACCCAGGCATCCCCTTGAGTTCCAATGTGATGAGTTCTTACTCAGCTAAGACTGACTAAGCTGGTGGACTAAGGATGCAGGACCTCTGATTTTCACCCTAGCAATGTATTTTCCCCACAAAAATCTCTGCCTATCATCTGCACTGCCTGATTTTACCATAGGGGTTTGAATATTATTCTTCTCAACATCTTTTATGGAGATCTGGAGTAAGGCAGAGAAGGCACGCTAATCAGATTTGTATATGATAGCAAGTAGATGGGTCGTTAATATGCTGGGTGATGAGTTCAGGATTTGAAACTACATCAATAAATTAGAACCAACAAGATGTAATCTAGCAAACATATGCATAACCCTGCATTAGGGTAGAAAGCCAATTACGTAAATATAAATGGGGAGCCTACCTGGGCCATAGTTTGTATAAAATGCCCAAGTTTTTAGTTGGTCCCTGCTCAACAGAAGTCAAGGTTTTGAGGGGAGCCTGGATGGCTCAGTCGTTAACCATTCAACTCTTGATATTGGCTCAGTTCATGTTCTCAAGGTCATGAGATCAAGTGCCCCGAATTGGGCTCCAGGGTCAGCAAGAGTCTGCTTGAGAGTCGTGCCCTCTCCCCTCCCCCAACCCCCGCTCACTCTCTCTTTCCCTCTGTCTCTCTCTCTCTCTCTCACACACAAATAAATAAATCTTTAAAAAACAGAAAAAGAGGAAAAAAAGAAGCCAATATTTTGATGTGGCTGCAATGAAAATAAACACATTTTAAAGTCACAGGAACAGAGGTGTCTCGACAAGATCAAGGTCGGTTGTGGCTGTCCTCGCTGACCTGACTCCACCTGGGATTTTGTGTCCTATTCTTGACAGAGAAGCACTGACAAGTTGTGTGCCCGTGAGGAGTACCAGAAAGGGAACAGGAGGAATCTCGCCCAGAGTGGAGTCCGGTGGACCCATGAGAGCTTCTCTCAAATACGTAAGGGCTGGGTGGTGGGAGGGTTTGCGTTGCTATGAAGGCAGATCTCAGTGCACTGAGTGGCTATTAAAGAAAGGCTGCATCTAGTTTTGGAAGCAAAACTAACACTTGGAGACATCCAATCACGTGACAAACTCCCTTGAAAAGCTACCATTTGCCAATATCTGGAAATGTTCACATACAAGCTGAGTGAACATCTGTAGGGATGCAGTAGCAGAGATTTCTGCAGGGGCTAGGATGTGGATGTCTTATTCCAAGACATCTTTCAACTTTAAAATTCCTGTGATCTTCCTTTGTTGGTCCCACTTTAATTGGTGGTGGAGCCACAAAGGTCAGTCAGATACTATGTTTAGGTCAAGGTAAATTGACTCCTAGAAAGAGTCTGACGTCCCAAGAGCATCAGAAATACATGGAATCGTGGGGCACCTCGGTGGCTCAGTGGGTTAAGTGTCTGTCTTCAGCTCAGGTCCTGATCTCAGGGTCCTGGGATCAAGCCCTGCTCAGCGGGGAGCCTGCTTCTCCCTCTCCTTCCTGCTCCTATTGTCTCTCACTCTCACTATCTCTGTCACAATTTCTCTCTCTTTCTCTCTCAAATAAATAAATAAAATCTTTCAAAAAAATACATGGAATCAGTTTCAGTTGGAGGGTGTGTCTTGTTTACCATTATCAGTCAGGTGAAGAAAGTTCTGTGAGGTTCCTGTCCCTCACAAACTTCTCCTGAAGTTTATAAAACTCCCCGGTTAGAAATTCCCTCAAGCCATCTTTCCCCCAGCCCACTTTCCTGAGATGGGGCAGGAAGAAGACATATACAGAGGCTTAAGTATAAAGTCAGGACCAGTATATTGGCTGCTTCCAATCACTGAATGTGCCTATATGTCTGGGCCAAAAGGTCCCTAGGTACTTAACGTCTTCAAGGGACAGTTCTTGTTTTCCATTTTCCCCTTTCTGTGAAGCCACCCTTTTGGTATCTTTTTCAAAGTCATTTTCCCTGAATGGTTTTATTCAGACACAGACACTATTTGTATTATTCTATCCAGTCAAGGTTCAATCCACATTATTTTCTCGGAAAGGAAATAATGATCATACCTCATCCTGGACATCAAGTTCTTCTTCAATCAGCTCTGCTTCCATTAATTCAAGAGGATCTTTACAGTCTTGCATGAGAGTGATCTTGACCAAGAGAACAGAGAATATTTATTGGAAAGATAATGACATCAGCCCACCCTGATACTCCCCTGAAAATTATTTGAAGCTTTGCTGGTGCTTCTCATCTCTAATCTCCACACCGCGAAACCCTTTTCAGCTTTCCTGTTCTTTTACATTTCCCACCTCAGGATTCTTCCTCGTACTACTTTTTCCACATTCAAGTGTAAACATGTCAAGTCATGAACTGTCATGAACTGCCATTGTCTCGCCTCCTTCTCAGCTCTCTTCCCCAACCTCTGAAGTGTGCACCGCTTAACGAGTCACCCTGTCTGCCTAAATGACTCAGCAGTCAATTGTGTTTCTCCTTCAGCGGCTGAGCTGAGAGCACTTAGTACCCCATTGAGCACGCAGTGAGTGCCCAGTGAAGGGCTTGTGACCGATGACAATAAGCCGCTCCCAGCTGAATTGGATGGAAATTACTTTTATTGCCAGTGGAAGCCAGACTGTATGGACCACTCCAGTTGACTGTTCAGGAAAGTTCTGCTTTTTAGCAGTAGCACGCAATTTAATCTTCCACACAGAGGAAACCAATAACAATCTGGGCCTTGGTTGACGTATGAAGAAGGGTATTTCTAAAGCAATTCCAGATGCGTATCAAGGCAAGGGTGGTGTTTCAAAGTGCTTTTGAGCGACTTTTCATCTCAGAAATAAATAACCCAATTCTCTTTGCTCGGGTGGAAATGCATTAGAGACTTCTTAAGTCCCTGTGCAGATGGCCATGACGTAAAAGTTAGGGGGCAGGTAGAACTACCGCTTGAGGCTATCCTGGGATAAGCCTTGTGATGGTCACAGGGAGAGGGTCCCATTACTACATCCATAATACCCACACATTACATTTCCTGAAGGAAAGGAAAGAACCAAAGGCAAGATTTATCATCAATTTGCTATCCATCTACTGGGTATGAGGCTTTGTGCTGGACAGTGAGGGCACATAAAAGTGTAAGTTCCTGGTGTGACGGGTCGTCAATACTGCTCAACCCTCTACTTAGTGAACCAGTAAGTGTATGTTTTAAGCCCTCAGTGATACTCAGGCTAACACTTGTTTGGGGCCAGAAAAAGCCATCCCAGCCACACACTGATGGCAGACGAGGCCTCCATGATGCCAGACATGACTGAGTCTAGCCCTGGAAGGGGCACTCATGGTTTAGCGGCTTCTGCGGCATTCCTGGCCCGAGAGCTTGAATCAGAAATAGAGTAAAAACAAATAACAAAACAACCATTTTCATGCTGAAAAAGAATTTGACACCTCACTTCTAAATAGTTTTAATGTGAGGGTTTTTTTTTTTTTAATGCTTTGTATGATCCTGCTTTGTTGTTGTTACCTATGGGTTAGAGAATTTAAAGTTAGAAAATAGAAAAAGGTTTATGAGTTTTCAAAGATCAGCATCTTGCATGTAGCTTGCTTGCTTTCTTCTCTTCTTTTTTTTTTTTTTTTGAGATTTGTGGTTTTACTACTTTTTTTTTCTTTTATGTATTTCAGATCCACACCTTGGTATTTAGTGTTAATATATCCCCCAGCAGCATTAAGCTCTCTCTCCACTAACAGGAACTGAAAAGAACAATGCACTACTGTTTTCTAGATTAATTTTACTTCAAAGATCAGCTTCCGATCTACAATAAAAATCTACTCATCCTATTTTTAAAAAGAAAGAACCAACGGAAAATAGAGTACACCGTGTCACTGAAGTAATTACTACTGTTGTTATTTTATTTGTTTTAGTTGCCCAAATTCACGGTCAGAGGGTCCATGAAAGAAGAGCTTCTTGGCCTAGGCCCAATGACCCAGCCCACTGACCTGTCCAATGACCCAAGCTGGAATGCTTGGCTTTCTGGGGATATCAGGAGAGTTGACAAAAATAGGGAGGCTCCTGAGAAACCAGGGTCTATTCTATTTTGTTGGAAATAATTAACTCTGGGCTGATTCATGACTTTTCTTTTTTTCCTTTTTCAAAGATCACTCATGACCTAATGGATCCTATTTAAAGACATTTACCATCAAGATTTTCCAGCTGGCTGAAAATTTAAATTATATACACAATTGTGCATTTGGGCATTGGGCATTGCATACCCAAATCTCAGCAAATCCAAGATTCACCACCTATATTCTAAAAGGCATCATTATAGCTAATATCTACTTTTACTAGTAAACCTGCACATTGTAAAACGGATATGTATCTGGTACCACCAGCTGCTTTCCTATAAACTATCGTATTTAGTTGTCCTACCAACCCAGTAAGGTCAACATTTTTACTCCCATTTTAATGATGAGAAAAGTGAGGCTCTGGGAAGTTAAGCAGGTGGCCCCAAATCCTACTAGACTGGGATTCAAACCAAGATTTGTGGAATTTTTTCTTTTCAGAGAAACCATCGTAGTTTAGGAAAGATACCTATGTAGAAAGGTTAAATGTTTATTTACCGTTTCTAAAATGGAATCTTGAACTTCTCGAGATTTAACCTGGTTCTGTAGATGGAGGACAGCATCATGGACGGTCAAAAAGAATATGTCCTTTCTAATATTATCATTAAAGAAACCACACTTCTCCAGTTTTTCTATCACATGATCTTCAAAAGAAGGAAATAATGTTCAGTCTCTAGGAAAGCACGTTTTTAACATCAGCCAATACTAACTTTTGTCAGCTCCTCCTTCTTATTTTTTTCCCTCATTTTCAAAATGGGACCCTGCTCTCAGCTGACTGAACTTCTTTTCCAGAAGCACATGGAATGGTTATACCCTAACTGGCTGGAGTGGGCAGACTTGACTCCTGACCACCTTGTTTTTGCCAGTATACCCACCCTCAGGCTGCCAGAAGCCTGGCTGCTAATGGCTCACGGCTATGCCCTTCTCTGAAGAACTTTCCTTGGCCACCAGTCTAAACCCCAACCTTGGGGCCTATAGCCCCTGACGGACTGATACGGGGATCAAAAGGCTGGCCTGCTCGCCTCAGGAAGGATATCCCCGTGATGCTCTTCCTGCTGGGTGCCCCCTGTGACATCAGGCTCAGGCAGACCTCTAAAACCATGTCTTTATCCAGCCTCTTCCCCTGTCCTATCCTCTTCCATCAGCCCCTCATGAATTTCTCATGTACACTCTCAATCAATCACTTGCTCAAGAATCCTTATCTCAGGGCCTGCTTCTAGGGAACTCAGCCTAAGTCATAGCATGTTTCTATATACATACACTGGTGCACAGATAGACAAAGACTCAGACCCTGGAGGATCCTCTACTTCTAAGGGATCTATGTCATCCCCATGGTAAATTTCCCCCACTGACCCTGCACTGCTGTCAGGACATACTTTCAGATGGCTTACCAGCTTTACTGAACAAATAGGAAATAATATCTTTGCAGATTCAAAAAATACCCCAGAGGGATTGCATAATGGGTAGAGTTTCTGTTTGTGGCACTGAAAATTTTTGGAAATCGATGGTTGTAATGGTTGCACGACACTGTGACTCTACTTAATGCCGCTGACTTAATTGTATACGTCAGTGTGACTAAAATGGCAACTTTTATACTTAGACATTTTTTACCCTAATAAAGCATAGTTTTAAAAAAGGCTCATTATGTACCCACATTCCAAGGCAGAGGAAAGGGCTTAGGAGAAAGTCTTAGAGGCAGATATATTTGTATATGCACTTACCTTGAAGAGATGCAAAGTACACATTTACATCAATTCTGTGAAATTCTTTGACAATCTAAAAACAAAAAAATTGTAACAGTGAGTGACTTTATCTGTCCGCAGTTACACAGCATTCCATTACTTGCTCAGGAGAAATGTGAACACTTTCATGGTTAACCAGGACTTCAAGGAAAGTGGATTATTAGGGGCACCTGGGTGGGTCAGTGGGTTAAAGCCTCTGCCTTCAGCTCAGGTCATGATCCTAGGGTCCTGGGATGAAGCCCCACAACAGGCTCTCTGCTCAGCAGGAAGCCTGCTTCCTCCTTTCTCTCTCTGCCTGCTTCTCTGCCTACTTGTGATCTCTGTCTCTCAAATAAATAAATAAATAAATAAATAAATAAATTTTTTTTTTAAAAGTTAAAAACTAAAAATTTTTTTTAAAAAGTGGATTATTGGAGAAAAGTTCATTCTTGGAAAACCACAGAGGTTTTCGGCCTGCAATGAGGGCAGGATTAGGGATGAGAAGACCATGTCTCCAGAGATGGCAGCATCTATCACCATTTGGATAGTACAGAGGGGCTTCAACAATATTTGCAGAAGAAAATACAGGAAGCTTCCTAACACAGCCCATGTGGATTGGAAACAAGAGGATGTGTTTGTATCTTTGAGTAGAAGACATGTAAGCATAGATATGTGGCCACGGAATGCCAAATGTAAAAACTGACCTAAAAAGTCCTCTGTATTTTGACTCTGTCGTTGTCAATGTCCTGATTGTGATTTCTGTACTCTAGTATTGCAAGACGTTACTGTGGGGAGAAACTGGGTGAGGGGTACATAGGCTCTCTCTGTATTATTTCTTATAACTCCATGTGAATCTACAGTTATCTCAAAATAAAAAATTTAATGAAAAAAAACCTAGATACAGCCAAAGCGATTTTGAGAAATAAGAACAAAGCTGGAGGTATCACAATCCCAGGTTTTGAGATTCACTACAAAGCTCTAGTAATCAAAACAGTCTGATATAGGCACAAAAACAGACATATTGATCAATGGAACAGGACAGAGAGCCCAGAAATAAAGCCACACTTATATGGTCAATTAGCCTATGATGAAAGAGGCAAGAATACACAATGGGGAAAAGACAGTCTCTTAAACAAAAGGTGTTGGGAAAACTGAATGGCTATATGCAAAAGAATGCAAGTGGGCCACTTTTTTACATCGTAACACAAAAATAAACTCAAAATGGATTAAGGGCCTAAATGTGGCACCTGAAACCATAAAAATCCTAGAAGAAAATATAGGCAGTAATTTCTTTGACATCAGCCATTTTCTAAATATGACTCCTCAGGCGAGGGAAACAAAAGCAAAGTGTAACTATTAGGACTTTCTTAAAATAAAAAGCTTTTGCACAGCAAGAGAAACTATCAACAAAACAAAAACCGTAAAAAAAAAAAAAAAAAAAAACCAAAACCAAACCCAGCAACCTACTGAATGGGAGAACATATTCACAAATGATATATCCAATAAGGTGTTAATATCCAAAATATATAGCTTATAGAATTCAACGCCCCCATGCCCCAAATAATCTCATTAAAAATGGACGAAGGGCCTGGATAGACATCTTCCCTAGAAGACCTATAAACGGCCAACAGACACATGAAAAGATGCTCAACATCACTCATCATGGTAAACGCAAATCAAAACCACAATGAGGCGTCACCTTGTCAGAATGGCTAGTGTCGAAAAAGACAAGAAGTAACAAGAGTTGGCAAGAATGTGGAGAAAAAGCAACCCTTGTGTGCTGTTGATGGGAATGTAAATTGGTGGAGGTCCTGAGGAAAACAGTATGGACCTCCCTAAAATAATTTAAAAAAGAAGTAACATATGATCCAGTAATTCCACTACTGGGTATTTATTCACTCAAAGAAAATGAAAACACTAATTCAAAAAGATATATGCATCCCTCTGTTTATTGTAGCATTACTTAAAATAGCCAAGATGTGGAAGCAACCCAAGTGTCCAACCATAGATGAATGGGTAAAGAAGTGGTGTAGACACACGGACACACACACACACACACCCCAATATTACTGAGCCATGAAAAATAATGAGATCTTGCCATTTGCAACAACATGATGGGCCCACAGACACATGAAAAGATATTCAACATCACTCATAATGCTAAGTGAAATAAGTTAGTCACAGAAAGACATACCATATGATTTCACTCACATGCGGAATTTAAGAAACAAAACAAATGAACAAACAAAAGAGACAAAAACAAAAAACCTGAGAGTCTTTTTTCTTTTTTTTACCCCAGAGTCTTAAATACAGAGAACAAACTGATGGTTACCAGACAGGAAGTGGGTGGGGGATGGGTGAAATAGGTGAAGGAGATGAAAAGTACACTTATTGTGATGAGACGGAGTGATGTATAGAATTTTTGAATCATTATATTGTTTATCCAAAACTAATATAACACTGTATGTTAATTATACTTCAGTAGAGTTGCCTGGGTGGCTCAGTCGGCTAAGCATCTACCTTCGGCTCAGGTCATGATGGATCAAGCCCTGCATCACACTCCCTGCTCAGCAGGGAGCCTGTTTCTCCCTCTGCCTCTGCCTGCTGCTTTGCCTACTTGTGCTCTTTCTCTCTCTGTCAAATAAATAAATAAAATCTTTTTTAAAAATTATGCTTCAATAAAAATATACAAATTAGTAAAAATTAAAAACAAAAAACCAAGACACAAGACCTATGGGCAATAATAAAACAGAACGTGACATTTCTGGGGGGAAAAAATCAAGACCTCTATGCAAGTATAATGTTTGGAGATATCATAATTGCCCTTAAAGCATTTGAAAGAACCACTGGTTAGGTGGAAACTATCCTGGCATTAAATAAGTTCTGACTCTCCCCAAAAGCAATTCATTAAACCCTTGCACTAACACAATCTACAGTGGATCTGAGCCGCAACTGAGTGAAATGCACAAGGCAGAACAAGATTTATGTCTTCATTTCTGTTCTCAAATGGTTATTATAATAGCCAGGTTTTCCAAAATAACTGGAATAGAACCTGCCAGCATATCCCTGAACTCTTCTGCCGAGTATAATCACTTTTCTACCTCACCAGCCCAGGACCCACCCCATGGAATCATCACTTGCTCTTGCCCAGGTAGCCAGGAAGCCCTGATTAAGCTAAACTCCAGTTAGGGGTCATTGCCATACTTTTTTAATAGATTTAAAAATTTTTTAAATTTTAATTCCAGTGTAGTTAACTACAGTGTTGTATTAGTCTCAGGGTTACAATGTAGGGATTCAGCAGTTCCCTGTATTACCCAATGCTCATCATGATTACGTGTACTCTTAATCCCCTTCACCTACCGGGGTCATTTCCATTTATTACATCTGATTGTCGGTGCCTTGAACCTGTTTTTAACCCCGGCCCTCTTAATACCTATCTGAAGCTTCACCTAAATTTGACATCTAGCCACACTGACACACTGGTTAGTCTGTGTGGGGGCACTTCATACAGTTGGTTAAATGTTTGCTTAATGTTTGCCTTCCCCTCTAGACTGTTTAGTCCCCCCAGGATGGGGGCTGCAGTGGCTTTATCTTGTCTCTCTTGTGCCTGGCAAGCACTTGGCAAATGTTAGGCACTCCACAATTATTTGCTTGAGCCTGCATAACTGGTTTCTGACACCATGAAAGTTTCTGTCCCGCACACTCCTCAACTCTTGCTTTGATGTCTTAGATAGCCGACCTGCTTCCTGCTCTAACCTCTTAATGATGCCTGCTTTTCCAGTCCTACCATGTTCTCTGGGGGTCCTTACCCTGCTGTTGTTCGTGTTACAGATAAAAACATAACACTTGACACAAACAGTTGTCCATTTTTCCTCCTTCTAACATCCTATCTTCTACGTACTCTAAGAAAAAGAAAACTTAATAAATATATTTCCTAAGATACTCTTCTAAACTACCTCTTTATTTATACATAATACCTATGTAATATATATTATATATGTAGCTAATAAAATAAACTACATATATAATATATACATATATATAAGCCTATTTAATCCTCATAACAAACCCTGTGAAGTAGATACCATCATTACCCCCATATTGCAGATGAAGAAACTGATGTACAGATAGATTAAGTGACTTGTCCATGGTCACACCACTAGTAAGTAGTAGACCAGGGATTCAAAACGCCACCCCCCTGCCCCCCGTCTGGCCTCACAGCCCATGCTTTCAAATATTATTCTCTATTGCAAAAGCATTCCTCTACAAAAACTACAGATCCAACAATTGTCCCTTTGTAAGACCAGGCGACTCTTATCCTATTACTACTTCCCAAGCTCCAGATCTATAAACCAAAGCACCAAAACCTTACCATTTGCAGGGATCTCACTCCAACAACATCCAAGAAAGACATAGCTCCACAGTCAAGCACGAGGCTATGGATTGGCACTTTGGGAACATTCACTTTGACTGGAAGCTCAGAGTTCCAATCCACTTGAATCTCTATTTCCTTGGTTGGGATATCAAGGTCTTCTGGATCTTCAATATCTTCATCAGGCTCAAAAGCATTATTTGATGAACCAGCATCCCTTATAATGCCATTCTAAACAAAGACAACACTGCCAACTTCAGTGCCAAACACTGGGAGACATCTTTCAAAGATTCATCTCCAATTACTTAAAAGTCCTATACACTTTTCCTTGGCAAGCAAAACATCAAAGGGATGAACTCTTAAGGAATGAGATTTACCTCAGTCCAAACTGTGATGTTCCCTAGGAAGAAAAATGGAAGAGCAGAGCAGCCAGGAAACTCTTGATTTCTGGAAGATTGTGGAACTTGGCCAAGAGATACATAGGCAGGAGAGTCTGAATAAAAGGTAATAGATCTAAAAGTTTATGAACTTAACTGTCTTCTACTGTGAGCAATTTTCTGGCATTGAATTAGCACTAATTTTGTTCCCTTCAGTAAAAATAAGGTTTATTTATCGATGGGATAAAAAAAAAATCACACCTTGTGTTTCCAGAGAGGTCTGCCGATTTTTAAATTCTCTCCCATTTCCTCTTGCCTACAAGAACAACATCACTGTCTCCTTGTACATATCTGGGTACTAAAGGGAATAAATCTAATTTAACTATCTAACTGCTTTCATTTTCCTCTGAGCAGGGAGAGAATTTAACAGGGAAAAGAAAGATGTCACCTCACCTTTGTTGCTCTTAATTGTCCTTTTTTGATGAGTTTCTGTATTTTCCTTAGTGCTTTCAGCCTCTTATTATATACTCTAATGGCATCAAATCCAACCTTTGGGAAAAAATGTCAAATTACTTAAAACATCTGGTTCCTAATGCTCATTAATGGCAATTGTTATCTGGGAAGGTTGTTTCTCAAACAGTATTATTCCTTGAGACATCCTGTTGAAAAAGAAATTCTAAGGTCTGGTGGCAGTTGCCCCATCAGCCCTCCCCCACCTACCCAGAGACTCAGGAAAGACAGTCTCATATTAAAGGCTCTACACTGGTAAAAACAGAACAACAACAAAAAACAACCAAAAACAGTGAAGAATAACCTCTTTAGCTTTAAGTCTGTGTTAACAAATGTCCTTGACCTCACAGAGCCTTTATGTTATTGCAAAATCACAGAGGACCATTCCTGTGAACCAGTTTGCTCTGGAGAGACTTAGCATCAGTTTGCTCAGGGAGACTTAGCACCAGAGCTTGGCACGGCATTCAAGACCACAGTTTCCTGCTGACTTATTTCACTTACACTTTTTGCCCTTTATTCCAACTGGGCAAATACCTCCCAACCCAAAGATGTGTACATACCTTTGACTCTCAGCTCACAGAGTTCCTAAACACCTGACATAACCACTCTTCTGCCCAACTGTCACACCCAGCCTGGTCCATCCAACTCGCAGAGATTGCTCCCTTCTGGAAACTTCCTCACATATACTTTGTATACTACTTATTTGGAACTCAAATTCCACTTGGATACATCTCTGCTGTTTTTGTCTTCCATAGTTATTGCTACCTGGATTTTAACACATACGGTATTATTGGTATTTTCCTATCCTCCAATAGACTGTAAGTTACTTGGATGTTATAATTCTTAAAGCCCCATAAAGATGGAATAGGGTGTAGGACCTTAGCCCAGTTTGAGCCAATAAATACCTATAGAATGAAGGAAGTCTCAAAGGAGGTTAGAAACCAAATTTCTAGGGATAAAATACTCACTGTGGACTTGATACATTTTTTAAAACCATCAATGTTGCCATAAAAAATAGGACTAGAAAATCTAAGAATCTTCACTCCTTCAAGTTCTTCAATCTAGCATTAAAAAAAAAAGAAAGTGTGAGGTTAAATAATCTTGGGTTTCAAACATTTGATTCAATTTCTGGCTTTTTGGGCCTCCTGGGGGGCTTAGTCAGTGAAGCCTCTGACTCTTGGTTTCAGCTCAGGCCATGATCACAGGGGTCCTGGGATGGAGCCCGCCCTTCTTGGACTCCATGCTCAGCACAGAGTCTGCTTGTCCCCCTCCCTCCCCCTTTGTCCCCCCTCCCCCACCTCTTGCTCTCTCTGTCTCTCTCTCTCTCAAATAAATAAAATCTTTAAAAAAAAATTCTGGCTTCTCTGCTAGGAGGGGAGTTTCAGTTGTTCAAAGAAGCTGGGCAGCAGCACCCACCTCTCCCTGAATAGGGGCTTCCCCCAGTTAGAGGCCACAGGTTATTAAAACTGGAGGGGCACCTGGGTGGCTCAATTGTTAAGTGTCCGCCTTTAGCTTAGGTCATGATCCCAGGGTCCTGGGATCAAGCCCCACACTGGGCTCCCTGCTCAGCACAGCCTGGTTCTCCCTCTCCTACTCCCCTGCTTGCGTTCCCTTTCTCACTGTCTCTCTCTGTCAAATAAATAAAATCTTTAAAAATAAAAATAAAAAAATAAAACCACTGGAATTTTACAGTCTCATAGAAGGTCAAGTTAGGAAGGGCCTTCATAAGCAATTATGCACCCTCTGATTTCCAGATGGAGAAACTGAAGCTGAGAACAGTGACATGATTATTTTTCAGTGACATTATTTTTAGCAATAATTTTGCCTCAAGTTCATACCACTCCCTGCCCACTTTGTTCTTTGGCTACTATTCTTTAAAAGTAGAAAGGAAAAAAAAAAGGTAGCAAACAAAGGGATTTGCAAGAACTGAGGCCTGTGATGTCATCTGACACAGAGTGGCCAGACCAAAAAAAAAAAGCTTACAGAATCCTAGATTTGTCCAGTCTTTAGGAATCCTAGCAATTTCAGTCCAGCCCCTGAGAGGAGCAAGTGACCCTGGGAGGCTGAGTGACACGGGCAGAGTCTCCCCAGGGTGGAGCCTTGAACCGCAAACTCCCAAACTCAGCCCATGAGCCAGAAGATTCTCTACCATCATGTTTAGCTCTGGGCAGCACTTGGCTCAACGTAACTGAGAAAGAATGTGGAAATAAGTTAAGTAGCAGCTAATGGAATTCCAGGGTCAGTGTCCAACATTTTCTTCCTCTGCTTTTTCCCCTGGTGACCACTAAGCTACTTTGTTTTCAGGGAACAAAAGCCCATCCGCAGGATTTGTTTCTTTCATTTCCGGTATCATATATTGTTTCTTCCAAGATTAGAGCAACATGTCAAAGAAGGTTCCTTGTGACGGAGAACTTAAAAGTCTCCGGTTAGAATTAAATGAAGATAACCTTATGGGGATTTCAGGTAATTTCATAGAGGACAAAGGTTACATAAAAGAGGAATAGAATTTGGAGGAAACCTCCGGAAATCCACAAATTGCCTATTTTAAGAAATTCCTCTTACAACGGCTTTACATGAATAGGACCTTCAAACTAGCATGGACACAATTCATCCAAGCCATGCATATCAGAAGGCACATTGGGTCAAAGTTTTCACGATACCCCCCGTGGACTTCTAGACGTTCCTGGCAGAAGCCTCCTCTCTTAACTACCTTGTACCTGATACACTAAAAGAGAAATAAGCTGGCCCTGAAAATCCAGGCTAGAAAACCCAAATCCAGCAAATGTCTCACAAAGGCACTTACATTTTTGTAACTCTTGGTACTTTTGTAAATGTCTGTGCTAGGAACGCTTCCCATGCCGTTCCATGAGGGACTAGGAGAAGAAAAATCAGGTCAGGATTTTTTGGAACAGGCCTCCTTTGGAACAAAACATTAGAAGAAATAACAGATAGGAAAGAGCCCATCATTCTGGTGTTTTGGGCCTGTGTCTTCATTACAGATAACATCTTCCTACAGCTAGCTCTGAAATGAACGGCTGGTGTTTGCGGGGGCCCTGGGAGGAGGAGGACTTCCCTGAGGGCTGAGAGAAGTCGTGAGCAGCCCTCTTCCATGTGTATCACACTTCAGAAGACAAGCAAAGAGCTTTCACACATGGTAAATTTTATCTAAGTGCCACTATCCTTCTGGAAGGTCAGCAGTCCTATCTTCATTTTTATGGGTAAGCTGAGGGTCAGGTACAGTCAAAAAGGCCCTGGAGGTAAGGGGCAGCATCTACATTTGACCTAGGGGTCCTCACAGCCTGGCACAGCGCCTGGAACTTACTCATGAGGTATAGCATCTTTCTGAGGAAGTATGGCGAGTCTTCAGGGATCAAATTAGTCTCAGTTGGTGGAAATGGGAGCCTGGGGGGACCAGGAGAAAGTTCCTCCCATCAACCAGACTGTTGTCTTCCTGCTCCTGATGTAATCGAATAAATCCCATGATTCTTCAAGTGAGACCAGGGATAGATGTTAAATAACAATTCCTGAAGAAAGAGTATCTGTTTGGGGTACTCTTGGCAACGTGCTCTCCAGATCAGCCATATAATTACTGGCAATGAAGCACTGTGGAGGATATGGCTTTTGCTTGGCTAAAAGCCTGGTTACCGAATCAGGAGCTAAAACGTGCTGCTGCTTTATCCTCAGCTTATCGGGCTGTGCTGAATTTTCATGTAAAGCTCATAAGCTACATCATCTTTCTCCACAAAACTTTCTCTCCCAACCACACCCTCACAAGGCCAAGTAGACACTGAGGCACAGAGAGCACGAGAAGCAGCATCTTCCAAGGACAGGTTTGGAGTTATTTCCCAGCAGCAAACTGGGCACACAGGGAGCTTGGGAACTCTCTGGGCCTGTAGGCAACCACGTAGGGGCCCCGAGGCAGTGAACACAAGCTTTTGGGAAGAAGGGGAACTGGCTGGTGCAATGAGAAGGGTGGGCTTAACTTTGGAAAACCATGTGGAGTTTCCTCAAAAAGTTAAAAATACCACTACTGGGTATTTACCCCACAGATACAGATGTCATTAAAAGAAGGTCATGTGCACCCCAGTGTTCATAGCAGCAATGTCCAAAATAGCCAAACGGTGGAAGGAGCCGAGACGCCCTTCAACAGATGAATGGATAAAGATGTGGTCCACATACACAATGGAATATTACTCAGACATCAGAAAGGATGAACACCCAACTTTTGTATCAACATGGATGGGACTGGAGGAGATCATGCTGAGTGAAATAAGTCAAGCAAAGAGAGTCAATTATCATATGGTTTCACTTATTTGTGGAATGCAGGGAATAGCATGGACGTCATTAGGAGAAGGAAGGGGAAAATGAAGGCGGGGGGAATCAGAGGGGGAGACAAACCATGAAAGACTGTGGACTCCGGGAATCAAACTGAGGGTTTTAGAAGGGAGGAGGGTGGGGGGATGTGTGAGCTTGGTGATGGGTATTAGGAAGGACACGGATTGCATGGAGCACTGGGTGTTATACGTAAACAATGAATCATGGAACACTACATCGAAAACTAATGATGTACTGTATGGTAACTAACATAGCATAATTTAAAAAAAAAAAAAGGGTGGGCTTATGCAAAGTGGGAGGGGTCTTGGATGATGTTTTTCCAGGTTTCTTACTCCTTTGCAACCGAAGCCCAGGCAGAGAAGAGGCCAGAAGTCTGGAAAGGTAACAGAGGTTTTGAGGAGAGAGACAGGCTCTGTTCGCCTCTCCGCTGGGACGGCTTCACAGACCCAGGAGGGCACACGCGGAAAGCCTCTCAAGAGTCACTACAGAACCAACAGAAACCCAGACACTCAGGACCCCTCACAGATCACTCTTGGTGGCATCGAGCCACGCCTTTGCTGCTTTCCCTCTGCATATGTCCTAATGACATCTACTTCATATAATCGTGTGCCCTTTGGGGCGCATGCTCCATTTGGCGGGTCTGAATGAATTCTGCCCACAATCAACACTTTCAAAGTCTCCCGTTCTGTGTTCCTAGCTTCAGGAGAAAACGGGCTGCAATCTGTTTAGCAGCTACCTTGACGCTATCCTCGGGCCCAGTGTCCCACGTGCTGCATCTCATTTGCAGAAGGAACCACAGAGCCACCTCAGTCCTTTGCTGAGTCACCAATCTTTGCGTCTTATCACCACCGAAAGGAGCGCACAGCCAAAGAGCACATGACTAAGTGCACAGATCTGGGGGTGAGACATACCCGGGTTCAAAGCCTGACTTAGCTGTGTGATCTTTGGAAAAGTTCTTAACCTTTCTGAGCCTCGAACTGCTTACCTATAGAATGACAATAATAAAATCATTTCATGGGATTTTTTTCCCGAAGACTAAATATGATAATGTGTGTCAAGCACTATGGGCTTAATTCATAGAAGCCCTCAACATATAGAAACTATTATGAAAGGGAGTGGTTTCCTTATATTTTATCAAAATGGTATAAGGAAGCTCAGGGTGTGTGGTCCTGTTTAAGGGAGACCTGGGTCTGCATTACTCACAATTGCACTCTGAGGACCACAGTGAGCAGTCCAAACATGAGGCCGGCTAGTAAACCGAGGTCCAGCCCCAGAATGATGGATGCTATGCACGTAAACACCCAGATAACCTAGGACAAAACAGAAAAGGAAGAACTGCTTTAATCCAGCAGGTGCCGTCCAGTGAGATACTACCTGCGAAAACAAATCAACTGTCCATGAACAAATCACGGCTTTTTTTTTATATACTCGGACTCTACTTCATGTTAAGAGGAAGTGGAAATTGACCTTTCTGGTAAAGACTGATTGTCCCATTTCAACGTGCTTTCATGACTTTTAAATAGGGAAAATACGAACATAGTTCAAAGTGGAATTAACATTAAAAAGGTCTACAGTGGGAAGTCTTGCTCCCAACCCTCTCCCTTCTCCATCCATCCGGCCTCCCTCCCAGTGTTCTCATCTGTTTCCGCGTGTGTCTCTGCGCACGTGCACGTGCGCACTTTTCGCCAGCATCGTTTTCTGCAAACACAAGCAAATATGACTGAACAGCAGTATTTTCTTTTCCCATCTTTTCATGCATTGTACACACTATGCCATGCTGCACTGGTCTCTTTTTCACTTTACAATGCATCTTGGAGGGATGCATTTTTCTCCTTTCTGTCCGTCATGGTTTAAATGACAGCAGGACTCTGAAGGACTTAGCTTCTGATTGTCACAGTTCCTCAGACCTATTGCGAAGCTTACTTTGGTCAGAGGTTAGAGTTAGACTGGTCAGAGTTAGACTCAGCAAGGGTTTTGTATTTTGGTTTTGCTTTGTTTTGTGTTTTGTTTGTTTTATATTACAGAGGTTTTTTAAAAAAAAGAATTTGTTTTGTTTTTTAATTTGGTTGTTAGTCTGGTTGGTTTGTTTGGTGTTTATTTGTATGAGATTCTTCCTAGATGGCAAAAGATCTCCCCAGAGATACAGGACGTTCACAAAACTTGGCTTCAGAGCCTTGGCTTATCCACACAATTCTAGTTTCTTCTCTGGGAATCCTGAAATGCAAGTGAGATTTAGGAGACATGTTCCCACATAATGATGTGGCAGGAGGCAGTTAGTTAACTGTCTGCCTTCTTCTCGGGTCATAATCTTGGGGGTCCTGGCATTTAGTCCTATATCGGGCTCTCTGCTCCGTGGAGAGTCTGCTTCTCCCTCTCCCTCTGCCTGCCATTCCCCCTGCTTGTGCGCTCACTCTCTCTGTCAAGTAGATAAATAACATCTTAAAAAAAAAAAAAAAAGAACCAAATCTTATTTCAGACAAAAAGAGGCAGTAAGTGACTTACAGCATCTATCTTATTCTGTCTCCACAGACGAGGAATGTCACACACTTGCATGAACATCCCTTTCAGGTTGGCGATGACAACGGCGGCCAAGACCGACTGCAGGGAGAGACAGGGAAGGCTGTGTTATTCAGGGCAATGGCTTTCCACCAGGGGAGTTTTAAACCTCCTGTTATTTCTCTGGTGGCTGAGCAGGGAAGCGAGATTATGCAATCAGTGTGCCGAGAAGCAGGGCTGTACCTTCTGCAAGGGTTCCAGCAGCTTCCCCAGGGCGACGATGGCGACCATCACGATCCCAGCCGAGATGATGCCGGCGATCTGAAAGACACACACCTGCCCTGAGCAGGGCTCGGCCTCCCCCCTGGTGTCTTCTAGCTTGCAGGATGCGGGTGCGTGCGGGACAGCCTGTTTGCGGGGCCACTTGACGCTGCCCTACTCCCCCGTCCTGCTCAATACTGTTGAGAGAAATGAGAATTAGTTCCGAAAACTCTCCACAACAGAAGGAAAAAGTGGGCAACATACACAGGGTGGCTATTGCAGAGGAATTAAAGGAAACGTGGAGACCGAGCCTGCGCAGGGAAAGCCAGCGGGACCGGGATTGCTGCACGATGTGTTACTGACCTAGAGCTTCGGTGTCCCATCGGGAGGCCAGACTTGTAACCATTTGCCAGAGCGGGGCCACCCCTTCCCCCAAGAGCAATCACTGAATGTTCTTGGGAAATAAACTGCGCCATTCACATCGGATTCTTCCGCGTCATGGAAGCCGCAGCCCTAACAGCGATTCTGACAACACTTGATACTAACGGCATATGATTCCCACAAAAATCGCAGAGGAACTAAATGGCCCGGTCCCAGTGCAAATTCAGAATGCTACATGAGCACCATGACACGTGGGACCGCATCCCCTCCTCCTCTGTCCCCTGACACAGGCTCAGAGTGTGGCCCCAGGGACGGGGGCACCAGCACGCGGGGCATAAAGGACCTTCAGAAACTTTACCTTCTCTGGCCAAAAAGCTCTGCTAAGATCCGTGAATAGTTAGGAGAGAGGCTGAGGGGTGGGGCTATTCTCTGGTGTGATTAGCACTGAGACGGCTGCAACGTGGCCGAGGTGAAGACCAGAAACTCTGAAACAGAAAGGAGAAAAGGAGACAGAGCACCAGAAGCAAAGCAGTGGGAGAAGCAACAGGGAAGACAGGCTTGGGCACAAGTGCCGCCAGCTGCAAGAGGCTACAGGTGAAGAGAGAGATCAGGCCCGCATCAAAGGAAAATCCAGAAACATCAGAAAACTTCAAAGTCACAGTCTTCCCACCTGGCAAATGGATCATTTCAAACTTCTCATTATGGTTAGATCAGCCTGAGGCAAGATTATGTATCTAATGGACTAGAAACTTCGCTTCATACTTCCAGACCTCTTTTTTAGGCTCTGTTGCCCATTAGCACACCTCTAGGAGGCCTGTACCTTGGTGGCTTTCCCTCTCCTATCTGAGCAGAGAAACCAATATTCTCCCTCTATCCATCCATCCATTCTCCTTCCCTCCCCCCCTTCCTTCCATATAGTTGCATAACCAATACTGGTCACCAATCACGAGCCACTTGCATCTCGCTGTGGATGTGGGGCTCTGCGAGTAGCTGAAAGAAATGGAGATCAGGGGACAGAGACCACAGCCAGCTGCCCAGCTCCTTCCAGGAGAATGGCCACCTACTCGCCAAGTACATGGGACAGTAAGCTGCCAATAATGGGGACCGAGATGAATCTTGGTCACTCTTAAAATCTGAGAGGATTCTGTTACTTGTACTTACTTTATAAGGCTGGTTTGTGGGAATTGCAGTAGATTTTATATCTATGAGCACATTCAATCACTAGATAATTAATGATTCTAAGTGAGAAGTTAATCAGATCAGAGAACAGTTTGTAATCAGAGTTTCTGGTGAGCCCGTAGGAGTCAGGTGAGGGCGAGAGAAAGAACGGGCTGTAACGTTAAGCCCTGCTGCAGTCTGACAAAGTGCTGCACACAGCGAGCACTAACCCTCACTACTCCGTTCATTCATCTGGGAGAGGACTGGTTCTTCTGTGTCAGGGACAACATATGTATCACTGGGACGAAGATGCTCTCCTACCGTCAGGAGCAACAGATGGGAACGATCAGCATTTACAAGTATGCGCCAGGACTTTCTAGACGTTTTTATTCAATCCTCACAACATCCCTTTGAGTGGATGCAGTTAATGTTCCCATTTTATAGATGCTGACACTGAGGCCCCCGACATGAGAGAAAGCCTGAGAAGCCACACAAAAGGGGAAGACCGTCCAGTTTATGTGGTCATGAGTCCCTGGATTTCAGTCCAGGCACTTGGACTTTTAACCCCAGAACTCAGTATACATTTCAGTAATTAAATGTCAAGCCCGTTCTGTGCTTGCTTCATTCCTCACTACTGAAATGCTGGCATCCTTCATTCCTAAATATAATACATGCCAGTGTGTGGTGGTGGGTGTTAACTTACCAGAACACCATTATCCCCAAGCCCTCTGCCAAGGAATTGCTTTACACGGGCATTCTTCCTGGGCCGGCTGGCCCGTGCCTCCTTTGAGGCTGCGCGCCACAGCAAGAGAGTGGACATCACCCGTGGGGGACCCGCCTACACCCGCAAACAGCCCCGGGCCCTGGAGAGTCTGTCAATGCCCCATCTCCGATGATAACAGAGCGCTTTCATCTCGCTTCAGCTTGCGTGCTGATAGCCGCCACTGGAACATGGGGGCAGCTCTGGAAATCACCTTTGACCTCTTCCCCCCGACCACAGACCCCTGGCTCGGCCTCCTGGTACGGGCTGGATTGTCTTCCCTGCTCCTGCAGAACTAGAAGGGTCTGGTCTGTCTCTCCCTCACCCCAAAAAAAGGAAGTTCAATTTTAAAAAGAAAATTTCTGAAAATTAAAATTAAATGTTGTTCAACAGGACCCAAGAAATTGGAAGAGGCCCATTCTTCCAATCCCCCTACACAGAGATCCATTATAAATGGGAAAGGAGCATCACGTGCGCCCTAGGGACAAGTAAGGCTTCCCCTGGGCAGGCCACTGTAGGGAGTCACTAGTTTTGTCAACTAATCTCTTTCACACTGCTGTGTGTCCCTGCTGTAACAAACCCTACCTGAAGCCCGTGTGTGTCATAGTACTTACCTTGGATTCAATGACATCCTTCTTTATAGCCTCAATGCACTTTTTACTCCGAAACAATAGCTCTGTGTGGGGAAGGGAACCACCCCCCAGGCACAACGGAAACACAATTCCTGAGCCTGTCCCTTGCCACCAATCACCTGTTTTGGCAAATCTGACCCCATGCCCCGCTAGAAAGGATAGCCTTTGAGAATGGCTCCTCAGCTTTGTGGCCAAAGGCAGGGTGATTCAGAGATGAACTGGGACGCCAGATTTGAGGTCCCTTTGTGAAGGTAACAACCTAAAACCACACTGATAAGATAAAATCCACTTCAGGAACAAAAATCATCCTCGAGAGGAAAGGCCAAAATGTTATCACCAAAATATCCCTGGCTGGCAGACTTGTTCTGTGGGACGAAGGCTTCTAGAGGAAATTCTATCAGGAACTTTCCTGATCCTTGGAAAGGAAACATAGTGGACACTTTGGATTCTCCCGAAAATGCAACAGCTCACTAACGCCAGAAAGTGCGCGAGCTCCGCCTTCTCTATCTCCAGATAACACATTGATAAAAATCAGCATTCTTGGGGCGCCTGGGTGGCTCAGTGGATTAAGCCTCTGCCTTTGGCTCAGGTCATGGTCTCAGGGTCCTGGGATCGAGTCCCGCATCGGGCTCTCTGCTCCGCGGGGAGCGGGTTTCCCCCTCTCTCTCTGCCTCTCTGCCTACTTGTGAGCTCTCTCTCTGTCAAATAAATAAATAAAATCTTAAAAAAAAAAAATCAGCATTCTTCACCACTGATTTCCTTGTCAGTTCTTATTATCCCGGAAACCCAGGTTGCAGGTCAATACAGCCACCTGTGAACTGAGCACTGACACAGAGATTCCTTTGAGGATCTGGGCATTGGGAAACCATCAATGTTGGAGAGGTTTCTGGGGAGGAGATGGATCAAGTTGATGAGTGAGCCCCGGGTCGGATCAGCTCGGATCTGCTCGGATCTGCGCCTCCCAAGGCACAAGCCTTCGTGCTCCAAGGCTACTTGCCTTACTTGGCTCTCCTAAACGCCTTGCTGGGTGCTGTTCCCCAGCCCATCACCCCCACGCTGCTGTGCCTTACCTGGGTCTTTCCCCCGGTGCTCTCCTGGACGGCCGTGCGGGACAGGGCAGTGGTGGCCACAAAACAAGAGAAGAATCCTGAGAAGATGTTGCTGATCCCAAAGGCAATGAATTCCTAAGGCAGAGACCGAGGGACAGGGATGCTACGAATAGAATCACTGGGCAAGACCTGCCAAGTGTTTAAGGAAAAAGAGGAGGAAAGCAAGCTCCCAAGCCCACCCTGTCTGGTAGCCCCAGACACTGCCCACACTTGCACACAGAGCAATTTAAAATCAGCCCACCTGAACAAGGGCCCGTGTGTACAAGGGCCTGAATTTAAAATGGTCACAACCATCATCGCTGGCGTTCGCTGCACTGTTTTGCTATATTATAGCTCCCCTTATGAAATACATCCGGAGACACTGGACTGCATGAAGGATTCTCATGCTGACCCAATATGTGAGCGTTGAATGTTATTTAGGACCTGACTGAATTAACTCTTAGAATTCGGCTGACTTCAACTTATTTCTTAAAAAGAGACACAGCCTGCGTATTTCAAAATAATTTCAATTAGCATGTGGAAGAGGGAAACCAGCTCAACAAGGGCTGATGAAAGAAACCAATCCCTTCTCCAGCAGACAATGAAGTCTGTCCCGCTTATGCCTTTCTCTTCTTTGCCGCCCTACAAAAGCAGGTCAGCGCAAGGGTGACCGTACCTGGTTCCCATCGATGGTGTAATCGTACTTGATGGCATAAACTTTGCCCACAGACACTGCAATAGCATAAGCCACCACGGCGATGGAAAACGAGGCAGCCAGCATCTCAGAAAACAGACTCACAGGTGGAAGTATGGGAGGCAAAAACCTAGTGAGTTTTAAAACGAAAAAACAAACAAACGCAGTGAGGATTTGACCACAGTTCTCTGTTCCTACCTCGCCAAATGCTATATACACCCAGACCCAAGTCAGGCATGAAAATGCTTGATCCCGAGGGGAAAAAGCAGATTGCGACAACTAAGTGGTAGCATTGCTTTTACAGTTTTTAATTAGAAGCTGGCACTCTCTCATGGGCTGACTTCTTCATCCCCTCTATGAACGCTGCCTTATCTATACCCCTGACACGAATAAACGTGTCATTATGGATTCTGTAATATACAGCCTGATGCCACGCCATTTCACACGTTAGTGTTTCTCCTCACACCATTTTATCTTAAAGGTCTTTGAATTTAAAAGATAGTCTGGCCATAAAATGAGATTTGCCTTGTGCGAAGAGATGTCAGGTCTATGAAAAAGACAAACGATATTGAATGCTAAAAGAGCTGAGTAGAAAATCCGCATCTTAAGAGCCACGATATTTAAAATCTTGAGTCCAGAAAAGATTACATTTATGTAATTATCAGAATGTTCCAGAATCACAATGATTAAGACTTCCCAGTGACTGTGGGGTCAAATGGCTACTGTTAGACATACCAGAACTGTTCTACAAACCATGTAAAGAAATAAACCTAGGGGTACCTGGCTGGCTCAGTCAGTAGAACATGTGATGTTTGATCTCAGGATTGTGAGCTTAAGCCCATTTTGGGCACAAAAGCCCACTTAAAAAGGAAAAAAAGGAAGGAGGGAGGGAAGGAAGGAAGGAAACCTACATGTTTATAATCATTCAGTTGTCCCCAAGTATGAAAACTGGGGGAATGGCTTTCATGTACCTGTATCTTGATGACTTATTCATAGAGTGTACAAGCCAGAGGTCCCTAGCCAAAAAACCTCCAAAACAAACAAACAGAAAAACTCCATCAAAATAATCTCCCTCACCTACCTCACTTATATCTGAGTTTCCTTTAATAGGAAATTACATTCCCCTCCTCTAATCAGACGGAAGTGCTATAGCAGAAATAAGATTGTTACAAAAAAACACAGAAATTTAGAGCTAGCTAATATCCTGATATCATCCAAGTTAATATGCTCATCTAATATCCTAGAAATGGTTGAATCTACATCTCTCCTTTTGTTGATAAGGGAACTGAGGTCCAGAGACGTGAAGTGACTTGCTCAAGGTCATTTAGTCAGGTCTAGTATGAATGTTGATTTCGTGCGTAACAAGATCTGTCTGATTCTCTGCCCCAGTAGCCTTTTTCTCCCCACAGGTGAGGTTACTTTCCAGACTCCTTTTTTCCCACATCTCATCCTGACTCACAAGATTTGTATCACACCTCTGCTCATCTGGATGTGGGCTTGGACCTCACATCTTAAAACCAGGCTTGTGGGGACACCTGGGTGGCTCAGTGGGTTAAGTATCTGCCTTCCGCTCAGGTCAGGATCCAAGTGTCCTGGGATCGAGTCCCACATCGGGCTCCCTGCTCAGTGGAGAGCCTCCTTCTCCCTCTGCCTGCCACTCCCCCTGCTTGTGCGAGCTCTCTCTGACAAATAAATAAAATCTTTATATACTCTTAGGCTTATGACTCATTCCCGAGACCCAATCAGCCCTACTTGAGGTAATTCAGTCTGTCCAGATACCTTTGCAGTCCTGCAGAGTTCAGCTTTGATTGTGACCTAATGCCCACTGCCTGCCTGCCAACTTCTCTAATGCCAGGGCCCTCTACCAGGTCCTTGATTCTCCAGGGTCACAAAGTGTAAAGCACAGAGACTTAAAGTCAAAGGATGTGAATGCTGGCTCCATGGCTCTGTATGAAACTGACTGACTGACTTGGGGCATATTATTCAAGATTCCCCAGTCCCAGTTTCTTCAGCTGTCAAATGGGGGCTACATACTCTTCTCATAGGGTTATTGGAAGGAGTCAAGGAAGGATGATGTGAGTAAGTAATCAGTACCTACACACATAGTAGGTGCTCAGTAAGTGTAGGGAGACCCTGAAAGTACCACACAGCTGCCATCCATTTGTATTACCTTGCTGGATCTTAGCAGGGCCGATATTTTTGCCCCACGTCACTCACTTGGGGCCCAGACTGGACACCTTCCAACGACCTCAGAGTTGTCTTTCCCTTACCTCCTGCCCTTCTTCAGGGGCCCTGTTTGGCTACAGCCAACCCTCCCATGTCTGGCCTGATCATGAGCTAACGCTATGAAGGTGAGTGAGGGTGAAGGAGGCTTTTCTGAAAAGATAAGGGCGGGGAGTGCTGGGACCCTATAACAGAGGCCGGGGGACCTATAACGGAGAGTCAGGCGTGAGAAACATGATTCCATTTACTTGAGGTTGGCCCTGAACATTTGGCAAATGCACCACCGCTCCAACTAGAATGGAAAAGTGGCCTTCCAAAGGCAGCCAGGAGAAAACCCCGATGATTCTGCTGACCTCCCCTGCCCCGTTCCCCCTGCGCCACACTCTCAAGCACAAGTGCAAAGCATGTCACTTTGAAAGCAGCGGAAACTAACATGACGGTGACATCCTCTGGCACCAGTACCTGCTGGCTATCTAACAGTGAGTCTGGTCATAATTGTGGGAAGTTAATGTTACCAATCTAGCAAACATCTGGGTTTCTTTTTTAATGCCATATGTTGAAATTACAGCGTACTGCACTTGGTCCATTCAGTGCATTTTATGAGAGATCTCACTGGCATTTCAGAACAAGCCCGAATTATGAATTTACTCTGTTCTCTAGGAGAACCCCCTCACCCATGTAGGTGGTGACAGAAGTGCACGAAGATACTCAACTCTACTTTCCTAACTCACCGAACTACCAAATCTATAGAAAACCTCCCTTAAGACGATGCATTTTATTCGTGAGAACCAATGACATAATTATTACTTAAGATTGATTAAACTAATTGGTGGAGAATTTAGGCCAGCTGTCCCTTATTTCTCAAGCAGATTGTTCTCAGTGTGATAAATGTGACTAACCATGATTCTATTTGTATTATATTGTAATTATACACAGGAGTTTAAGTCAGGAGTCTGGTGGTGACTGTGTAAGTCCTGCCACATTTTAAGGAAATGAAGAAAAAAACCTCAGGGCATATGGGAGCTGCTTTTCAACAAATGGCTCGAACTTTCTCTACACACAGTTTGTCTGATTGTTTGCACCAGTGGGTGCTTCTTTAAGATCACACACGGGGAAGATTATGGAAGGAGCATCAATGAAATGAAGCTTGTAATAAAAGGTTTCTTTTAAATAGAATGTACTGACTTAGTATAGCCTAAGAGGAGCTCCGCACTCACCCGCTTGGGATGGATTTAACAATGCCAGCATTGTAATTTTTTTCCAGGTCGGCTCCATATGAAATGGCAGTAGCAATTATTGTCTGAAATAAAACAAAAGAGGTTAAAAATAAAAAACTACATGTTTTAACAACTCCTCACCCCCTTTCTTTAGTCTCCTCCTTAGGAAGCCTGCCCTGTTGGTTTCTTTCTTTCTTTTTTTTAATCCAAGTACAATTAACATACACTATATTAACACACATTATATTAGTTTCAGGTGTGCAGTAAAATGATACGACTTTTCTCTGCATTACTCAGTGTTCCTCAAGATAAGACAGTGCTCTTATTCCCCTTTATCTGTTTCCCCCATCCCCCCACCTACCTCCCCTCTGGCAACCACCAGTTTGTTCTCTGTATTTAAGAATCTGGGGGGTTGGGGGCGCCTGGGTGGCTCAGTGGGTTAAATCCTCTGCCTTCGGCTCAGGTCATGATCCCAGGGTCCTGGGATGGAGCCCCACACCGGGATCTCTGCTCAGCAGGGAGCCTGCTTCTCTCTTCCTCTCTCTGCCTGCCTCTCTGCCTACTTGTGATCTCTGTCAAATAAATAAATAAAATCTTTAAAAAAAAAAAGAACCTGGGGGTTTTTAATTTGTGGAACATAAGGAATAGCATGGAGGACATTAGGAGAAGGAAGGGAAAAATGAAAGGGGAGGAATCGGAGGGGGCGATGAACCATGAGAGACTATGGACTCCAGGAACCAAACTGAGGGTTTTAGAAGGGAGGTGGGTGGAGAGATGGGCTAGCCTGGTGATGGGTATTAAGGAGGGCACAGATTGCATGGAGTACTGGGTGTTATACGTAAACAATGAATCATGGAACACTACATCAAAAGCGAATGATGTACTGTATGGTGACTAACATAATTCAATAAAAAATAAATTTAAAAATTAAAAAAAGAATCTGGGGGGTTTTGTTTGTCTCTTTTTTGTTTGTTTGTTTCTTAAATTCCATATATGAGTGAAATCGTTTAGTATCACTCTTTCTCTGACTTATTTCACCAAGCATGATACTCTCTAGCTCCAACCATGTTGTTGTAAATGGCAAGATTTCATTCTTTTTTTTATGGCTGAGTAATAGTCCATATATATTACAACTTCTTTCTTGTTAAACTCATTAATGCTGAACTTTCTAATTACATGTTTTACTTACCACAATTACTTCTATAGGAATAGGGACTGGAATTTTGTGCTTAAATCGGTCATTCACTTCCTTAACCGCCATACAGATGATAATGGTGAGTAATCCAGCAATGAAATCAGCAAGATTGGTGTTGCCAACATTTTGAAAAATCTCAATCAGAGTCTGTATAAAGAAAACAATTGTATATTCTTCCCACATGAAAAATCATGATAACATCATCAAAGAGCACTTGAAAATTTCATGTAAAATCATAAAAATGTGTTGGCTAATATAGAGACCATTAAAAAATCCAATCTTAGCAATACATATACCAAGTTAATGATGCTTAATTGGAGTGGTAAAACCATGAGTGATTTCTACTTTTTTTGTTTATCTGCACTTTTTTACGATAAAAATGAGATGTTTTAAAAGAAAAAATTTCATTACATACTGAATTTTACTTGCAGAAAAGCTTTAAAAATTTATATCTTAAAGTGGTTTTACAGGGACTATTAAGTGACCTAATTTCACAATGTTGATGTGCTATTATTGAGACTAAAAACTGACAAACCAAAAAGTCCCAATTAGCCAGTATTTTAGGTAAAACTCTTTCCCAACCTGAATGAGACGGCTGGAAATAAAAATACCTAAATACTTCATATGTAGCTACATAGGGTCTGATCCACTCTTCATGCTGAAGAAAAACTACTAAATTGATACATAGTTCAAATATAAATTTTTAGAGGCACCTGGGTGGCTCAGTGGGTTAAAGCCTCAGGTTTGGCTCAGATCATGATCTCAGGGTCCTGGGATGGAGCCCCGCATGGGGCTCTCTGCTCAGCAGGGAGCCTGCTTCCCTTTCTCTCTCTCTGCCTGCCTCTCTGCCTAATTGTGATCTCTGTCAAATAAATAAATAAAATCTTTAAAATATATATATATATATATATATATATATATATATATATATATATATAAATTTTTAGAAATTAATTTGGTACTTAGTTCAAACTTGAACTGAGATGACTTAAATAAAAACAACTCTTTCCAAGTGGGCAGACAAGCCAACTCAAGTATAAACTCGTCTTGTTTTGTAAATAGGAGGTTTCTGGGAATCAAGGGAGATTAGCAAGGGAGACTCCCAGGGAAGAACAATAATACCTTTGTTCCCGCAGCTTGGGTCCTGTAGAAGGCATGATTTCAGAGGTATTCTTTCATTCTTTGAAACAAATAATCTCTCAGTGAAGGTTACTTTTTTTTTTTTTGAATGAGTCCTTTTATAGATATATTTTTATATGAAAACAAAGGAATGTAGTACCTTATCATTTATAACATGTATCTTACTTAATTTTATAGACAAGCTGTATTTTAAATAATCACAATGGCAGTCAATAACAGTTATGTATAAAGAGCCTTAAGTGATCCAGCAGCCGTTTGGCCAGCAGCTCCAAGAGTAAGGGAATGACGGGAGAAGTTGTTATGCTAGCAAAAGACGTCCACCAAATGCCTGAACTAGAGTTCAAGCATTTGACTTACAGGAAGCCTCTTGGACTTTCACTCAGAGAGTATATTTGCTCTTGCTTGAAACCCAATACCAACAAATTTACTTTGCCTTCCTGAGGCAGTCAAAATTGAGAGAGGCAGTTACATGGACAGCAAGAGAGGAAGCCAACGATAGCAGGGTGAAAAGGAGAAAATGGTGGCCCCTGGGTGGTTCAGTTGGTTATGCATCTGACTTTTGATTTCGGCTCAGGTCATGATCTCAGAGTCGTGGGATGGAGCCCTGCATGGGGCTCCCTGTTCAGTGGGGAGTCTGCTTAGGATTCTCACTCTGCCTCTGCCCCACCCCTGCTCATGCACACACACTCACACTCTCTTCCTTTCTCTCTCTCTCTAAAATAAATAAATCTTTTTTAAAAAGAGAGAGAGAAAATGGAGGAGTACCACAAGTGGGCACAGTAACAAGAATTTAGGGCATCTGCCTTAGGAGCCAACAGGCCCACATGTCTCAGTCTTATGGCATTGCTGTCTGGCCCTTCCCATCATCGGTTTTCTGATGACGAGCCTCATTAATTCATAAGTTGGATATAATATTTCACTTAATTGTTTATATAGTAAAGGTTTACTTTCAATTCAAAAGGGAAAAATCCAAACTTGAAAACAAACAATCAGATAACGATCCCAATCACAAAAACATTTTCACCTTACAAAAATGATCACTCCAGGATTCCCATTTAATCTATGAGAGTCACTGAGATCTTTGAATAAAAAGCACCTCTGGTTTATTAAAAATGTAATATGGGTTGCAAAAAAACAAAATCAGTTTATATTACACAATTGCATTAAGCAAGCATATACTAGTTGTTTATATACTGAGATATCTCCTATGAAAATTTCCACAATAAAAAGTTTAGTCTGTGTAGAAATAAAACTGAAATAGTCAGATTGTACTGAAAGATAACAGAAATGAGACTCTAAGGAAGCAATGAAAACTAATTCCAATTTCGTTTACTATTAAAATATTTCCTAAAATAAGTTTAAAATGTGGATACACGTATGAATCTGTATTTCAACCTAGTATTCTGAACAGGTCAAATCATAATAATGACCATTTCAGTGATGGGAAATATTTTACTCTATTTCCTACCATGCTTGGAGAATTTTAGGACCATTTCATTCAGATCATTTCTTCCTTTTTTGCCTTCCTTTTTTGCCTGGGGGTACAAAGCCATAAGAAACAGATATATACCTGCTGTTACATATGAGGAAATTTATCAGTTAACTTCTAGTGCCAAATTTATTTTAATTCATCTCTTTAAATAGAGCAAACTCTTTATAATCACCCCTTGCAGTCGGGCATTTCCTCCTACCAGAAACAATTTTTGCCCATATGTAGATCACCCCTTAAAGCATTACTTTCCTTATTGGAATGGTTTAATTTGTACACACTGAAACAGATTCAAAAGAGTGTCTCATCGAGCTTAATGGTGGCTTTCAAAACTCCCGTCATCCGGGCAGAACTTTTCAGTGTGGTCTTCCACCTCGTTAGAGGAAGAAATGAGGAGGTGGCCGTCACTTCGGTAAGCAAGCAGAAAGTCTCGCTTTGTCTATCGAGACAAGCCACTTAAAGTGAATGATAGGAAAACAATCACCCTTAAATGTGCTATGTGATTTAGTTACATAATTGAGAAGCTACTTGGTGGCATGGGGCGGGGTGGTGGGGGGGAGTATTACTAACTGTGAATTCTGCCAATACCTTGTCATTCCCCCTTCTGCGACCTCTATTCTCAGTGGCTCTGGCATCTGTGAGTTCAAGTTTTAGTTTTTCTTACTGTCTGGGTATTTCCTCCTCCAATTCTTTGTATTGTTTTCCTTTTGGGGAGGAGTTGGGGGAGGGAAACAATCCAAAGTATAGCCTTATAACAAAAGAGATGTTAAAGGGACGCCTGGTTGGCTCAGTCAGTTAAGCGGCTGCCTTTGGCTCAGGTCATGATCCCAGGGTCCTGGGATTGAGTCCCATATTGGGCTCCCTGCTCAGCGGGGAGCCTGCTTCTCACTCTGCTTCTGCCTGCCACTCTGCCTGCTTGTGCTCTCTCTGACAAATAAATAAATAAAATCTTAAAAAAAGAGAGAGAGATGTTAAGTTGCTACATGCCAGAGAAAGTATCTTACAACAATCTTCCAATTTTTCCTGGAGGAATCCCAACTACTCTGCGTTTGTTGAAGGATTCTTTCATGAATGATTGTATCTGGTTATGTCACAAGCAAAATTCTCTGTTCAAGTACTGAGTGGTTCATTCAACCTTATGCAATCCTTTCCAAACCTGCTGACCCTTCCTTTTCTGAAGAGCAAACTTAGAGTCATGATGACACGGGGAAGATTGAAATATCTTCATCCAACCTGACTGCTCTGGAGGAATTTCTCACAAAATTCTATGACACATTCTAACCTAATATTTTAAGAGTAATGTTCAACAGTCACATAACAATTGTGTTTGGTTTCAAACTATTTTTGACCTTGTTCTAGTGTTTCTTGGTTCCTTTTGTCCCTTTTGAAAGTGGGATCATTTGCAGCAAGTTTTGTCTCAAACATAGTCCTAAAAAAGACACAAAGAAATGGAAAGACATTCCATGCTCATGGATTAGAAGAACAAATATTGTTAAAATCTGTGCTACCCAAAGCAATCCACACATTTAATACAATCCCTATCAAAATATCAACAGCATTTTTCACAGAACAGAACTGGGACAAACAGTCCTAAAATTTGTATGGTACCACAAAAGACCCTGAATAGCCAAAGCAATCATGAAAAAGGAAAACAAAAGTGGAGGTACCACAGTTCCAGATTTCAACTTGTGCAGCCACTCTGGAAAACAGTGTGGAGTTTCCTCAAAAAGTTAAAAATAGAGCCACCCTACAACTCAGCAATTGCATGGTTGTAAATACTAGGTATTTATCCAAAGGATATAAGCATAGTGATTCGAAGGGGCACCTACACCCCAATGTTCATTACAGCAAATGTCTACAATAGCCAAAATATGGAAAGAGCTCAAATGTCTACGGACAGATGAGAGGATAAAGAAGATGTGGTGTACACACACACACACACACACACACACACGAATATTACACAGCCATCAAAAGGAATGAAATCTTGCCATGGGCAACAATGTAGATGGAGCTACAGGGTATTATGCCAAGTGAAACAAGTCAGTCAAAAAAAGACAAAAACCATACGACATCACTCATATGTGGAATTGAAGAAACAAATCAAAAGAGCAAAAGGAAAAAGAGAGAGGCAAACCAAGAAGAGATTCTTAACTATAGAGAACAAACTGATGGTTACCGGAGCGGAGGGGAGTGGAGAGGATGGGGGAACTAGGTGAAGACACTAAGGACTCACTTTTGATGAGCCCCAAGTGATATACGGAAGTAACGAATCATGATACTGAAACTAATATAGCACTGTATGTTAAGTATACTGGAATTAAAATAAAAGCTTGGAAAAAAACCATAGTCCTAGGAGACCAGAAGGACTATTAGTATCTGCAGAGTTTCCCCCAATGGCCAGGGAACCAGGTTAACCACTGGCCTCAGGCTCCTGGGGTCTGTGTGGATGTGAGCCAAGCAATGTTCATGAAGAGGTGAGTACACTCAGTAAGGGGTTTCTTGCTGGATTCAGGGCATAGTGCATTTGTCTGGGGAGTAAATAGTTCCCAGCACATTGGAGGTAGTCAGTAAATACCTACTGAACAGATGAACTGTATGAATGACAATGAAGGAATAAATGAATGAACGGTTGACAAGAAGAGTATGAATGCAAGAAAAAGCAAGACGTGCCAAGGACTGCAAAGATGAGAGGGCCTGTCTGAGAAAGGCAGTCAGAAGGTTCCGAAATGAATCAAGCACTTGGTAGGAAAAAAAGCAACAATGACAAAAATAATTCTAAATCAAAAAACAGCCTGCATTCTTTTGAGAGATGGGTATGACACGATGGAATCCCATGTCACTGAGTTACTGAGTGAGTAACAGATCTACAGGCCTTGTAAGATGTGGAGATTTGAATCCTTTAAATCAAGCTTCACCTCAACTTTTCCAGATATGAGTAAACTCTCCAGGCTGCTTAAAGATGACTGAAGAAAGACCACAAAACTTGCTACATGCTACGATAAAAAATCTTCATAATAAAAAATTTTTTGTTCTTCAAAAAAAAAAAAAAAAACCCAGCCCACATTAGTAGGCTGGCTCCTTGGAATAGTGAGCTTCATGAGGTCTGTTCACCTTAGTAATGAAAATAATAACAAGAGCAATAATAATAATGAATTCACTAAGCTCTTACTATGAGCCAGATAGTGTACTAAGTGCTTTATACAGATTTTCCTTTTTAATCCTCACAATTCTAAGAGGCAGCTACTGTTATTACTTCCATTTTACAGTTATGGACAGTGAGGTGTAGAGATGTTAAATATAACATGCCCCAAATCACGTGGGTAGTAGGCAGTGGAATCAAGATTCCAACTCAGCTCTACTGAAATTCAAAGCCTCTGGTTAATCACTATGTGAGACCGCCTCCTCTACCTATTCCCACTGCACAATACATGGCCACAGGCGCTGGGCAGTATTTGTTGAATGGAAAGGGCAACGTGGGATTACGGCACTGTCTTGAAACCGAGCAAATTCCTGACCACCTTTCTAATTTTCACATATGGATGCATGGCCTTACGTTGTTTTGGAAGCTAATCCACAGGTCACTAAAGGACTTAAGCTCCGTTCTTAAGGCCAGCACATTATTTTTGCATAGTATCATTCTCCCCAAGCTAGGATGACATCATGTTACTATCATTACCATTTTCAAGCATCAATAGCACGCTTTATATAGAACGTATATTTAGATCCAGGAACTTTTTCAAATCTAATTAGTGTGATCTACATCCTTCTTTTGCATCTCTTTTGCATGTTGAATCATCTCCGAATCTAATGTTCCTTTTCATCTATAATTGCTGAGACATTTACATTATGCACTTCATGGACTCGAGCAGTTAGAAAGGGCTTTAGAGCTACATCTCCAGTCATTTCATATGACAAATAAAAAAAGAAAGAAGACTTGAGATATGAAATAATAATTCCAACCTAACTACTTTTTTTGAGTACTTATTATGTGCCAGCCTCTGGGCCAAGTGCTTCTCTTATACCCTTATTTAACTTAACTATGAATATAGATATTATCACCAACTCTATTTGGCAGAAAAGGAAACTGAGGCATGGTGATTTGCTCATATAACTAGTAGGCAGTAGAATGAGGACATGACTCAAGGCCATTCAGCTCCAAACCTGAGCTCTCAGCCACTATCCCCCATGGCGTGTCTACGGTCACTCAACTTCTCAGAGGCCAACTTGAAGCTGGAACTCAAGTCCATGGCCTCCCAGACCAGACTTCACTTCACCCTTTACCCTAACCCTTTGTTTCCATTAGTATTTTTAAGTGCACTGACTCTTCTGAAACCATTTTGACCAGTTGAAAACGATGATTTGTAAAATGTGCCCTCTTCAGTGTTTACTCCTGATTCCGTTGCTTGCTTTCAGAGAAAAATGTTTTCCATGGCACCCAAAGTATGGCATGGAGGAACTTCTGCTCTCTAGATGCAGGTTAAAGAGGAAAAGAAGAGAGTTTTCTCAGTGAGCCATCCCCGGAGTAAGAAGCCACACTTACATAGATAATGGAGAGAACCCCATTATAGTTTTTGGTGGAAACGTTGAGAACGATCTTCAGCTGTGAGACCAGCACTTGGAAGGCAGCAGCTGTTGTGAATCCGCCAACCAAAGGATCTGCCAAGTACCTCACTATGAATCCAATCTGTAAACCTCCAAATATCAACTAGGATAAGAAGGAAAGAAAAAGTTAACATTTGCCTGAGAGAAGGACCAACTCTCTTGAACTATTAACGAGTCAAACTTAACACCAGTTCAAACTGGTAGCCTGCTAATAACAAAAAAATACTTGTAGGAATGCTCCTCCACCCCTCTAAAATTTAAAAACTCGTAATATGAACCTTGAAGTACTTCTAGATATGTAAGAAGAAAAGGCAGAATCATGTGGCTTATTTCTGTGCCTTTCAGATCCCATGGCTCTGCTCATCAGGACACTTTTTTCTCCTTTGTTGGCTCTGCACATCCCCTTCCCTCGTCCTCATTTAAATCACACATGTTACTCTGATTTTTTTTTTTTTCTGTCTCTGACTTTGATGATACTCAAGCCTTCATAAGTAGGGTCTTGCTGACTATTTCAGCATCTGACCTAAAACAATATAATTTAGAAAATAACTTTGGGGGTCCAATAAATTGCTTGGTTTCATGTTTAATTCCATGTGTTTTATACTCAGTGTAAAACACATTCCATGTGTTTTACACTCAGTTATTTCAAATAAAAACCATGTCGGTCCACACTGTACTTGTATTACCTGTATGATTCCAACCAAAAGAGTAAGGGTGCTTGCAATCAGTACTCTTGCTGTATCTCTGGCCACATAGTCTATCACGGTGGTATTGAATGCGGTGCCATTACTGCTCGATACACGGAAGTGCTCATCGGGGGCCATGCTCAGCACAACAGATCCCACCATTAAACTGACCACTGGGAACGGCCCTGGGGGGAGCAAAGCCTCTATCAATTAATAATTATTCATCACAAATGTTTAGGTCCAATATGTCTACATAGGATTAGAAAGATGTGTGGAATTATTAGGTGTGATTGGGAGAATATCATTTGTTCACAAAGGAAGCTGCAAAGCAGATGTCTCAAGGCATTCATGACCCAGAGAGACATGTAGGTAGGCAATTATAATACAGCACTCAGGATGCTTTGTGAATCCACAGGAAGGTTGTCTAGCCTGTCTTTGCGTGTTCTTCATGCATATTGGGGCAACAGTGGGGGGAGTTCCCAGGAAAGGTTTCCTGACAGAGGTGGCCAACAAGCTGAATCCTTATTTGTTCTATCTTATTTATTCCAAAAAGCTCATTTCCTAGAGCATCCAATGCCCCGATCTCTCTGGTGCCGAGGACCTTGATCAATATCATAAGGTCCAGATTGGGATAAAGAAAAAACAAAAAGAGTATATAGTTTTTCTTTTTCTCTTTTCAAGACAAATTATTTTTTCATGTCATATGGCAGTCTACAAGATTCTGTGGTTTTAAAAGTATTCCTATTCTCCCAGTCACTCCTGATATTTTTATCCATGATGGTGATCCTGTCCTTCGGTCATAGAAGGTGTTAACAGTTGGGAGGGCTCAGTACTGACATCCAGTAACCTGGAGTATTTAAATGTATAGAATACCAAAGAGAAAAATATCAGCTCCTGCGTTGCACACGTTGTCAAGGATTTTGACACTGATTGTCTCTCCCAGGTGAGGGAACAATTTCAATCAACAGCCTCTTCCTGATCTCCTTCCATAGGCAAGGCAATATGCTAGATACTAGGGATAATACGGCTAAGGATGAGGATATGGGCTGGAGATTATTGTATTTGTCTCAAGAGGATTGTCCAGGTAGACATGTCTAGCCAGCAGATGGATGTAGGCGCAAAATTATCTCAAGTATAAATGTCAAAGTCACAAAATAGCATTAAAACATTCATTTACTAGAACATTCCAGCACAAGAGAATTCAGATTTTAGGAACAGCAGAAAATAAGCCTATTTTGAGCCATACCAAGAAGGAAAGCCAAGCTTAGTTTCTAAATAGTTTTGGCACAATTTTGCCAGTGTTCCAATATTAGTGACTTAAAAATGAGTACAGTTTTTAATGAAATGATGAATATGTATTTGATGAATATAATTTAGTAAATGATAAGTTAGTCTCGTAAAACAGTACGTTTGAAGACCTCTTGAAGATATTTTTCCCTTGTCATTTTGTATTTTGGAAGAGAACACTTTCTAAATATGGAGTCAAAATTATTACATTTCTTAAAAGGAAAATATACTAGAATTTGAAGGTCGGCTGTACTTTTGACAATCTTTCAATTTTCTCCTCTTTTATAAAAAAAAAAGAGTTAAGTATAAACCTAATACTAAAGAGATGATATTTTGAAAGCTAAGAAGAACCACTGCATCACTGAATTGGATAAGCCCGCAAAACACTGGAGGCCTATTTTCCTGGAAAACATTAACAAAGATACGGAAGCATAATACACATACTATAGCCAAAACACGTTAAACGTGAATAAATACAATTGCAATATATGCTTATAATTACCAACTGAGATGTGCCTTGACGTTCCAAAGATAAAATAGGTCAGGATAGGGAAAAAAGCAGAGTAGAGACCATATCCGACAGGGACTGCTGCTAGCAGAGCGTAGGCCATGCCTGCAAGTACATCCAAAATGATTACATTCACAAACAAAAGTTAGGGTGTTCTTTCCACTATGCAAAGAAAGGCCTTTTCCTAGACACCCCCGTTGGCATCTTGCCCTGCGTGGTCTTCCTTATTTTGCGCACAGCCTGGGGCTACGCTAGAATGCAGAACGTGATCTGGATCAGTGGAGAAAATGATTCATCCTCATGCACCACCTGCTGAAATGAATTGATAGACTTGATCAGTAATCCAATCATCCACCGATTAGACGAGTGGAAAAAGGGAGTCAAGTCAATTGGTTAAAAACTCCATCAACTCAGCTCAAAGGCTCAGAGCAGCTGTGAGCACAGACATTTCGTGTGAATGCCGTGATTCGGTGTGTCTGGAGGGACACAGTCGACGCTCTGTAATACCCGCTTCCTTGTCGGGGAACAGAAGCTAGATCCAAACAAAGGAAGCTATGACAACTGTACACAGCAGCAGGTAAGACAACTCTACTAGGCTTTCCTCCAGGAGCTCAGCTCCTCCGCTGGGGCTCTGTCCCCAATAGCCTCTGGGGCCGCACCGCACAGTGTGCAGAAATCTCAACTTTTCCACATACGTGGGAGTTGGAAGACCGCAATGATGCCTTCTTTTCCTTGGTGAAATACTTCTTAGGGAGTCAGCACATCTCACTCTTTATGGCTTCCTCACATTTCACTCACAGTCAGAGCAAAATCACGCCCTTTGACCACTGGGTTCTCAACAAAGGATTACATTGATAGTTTAAAAAAGGGCAGAAAACAACCAAAATATGCTGGCTCACAAGTGCTCTGCATTATTTGTTGAATGAATGTCTCAGAACGGAAAAGTGGTTAACTGAATTATACTTTACATACTATGATTCTATAAAATGAAATTGATGTGATGTATAAGAATACATCTGCTAACATGGAGATAGGTAAAGAACAAAGGAAAAAGTAAAGAAAAGCAGGATTCAAAATCATGGCAAGTGGGCCCCTGGGTGGCTCGGTTGTTAAGCATCTGCCTTTGGCTCAGGTCATGGTTACAGGGTGCTGGGATCAAGCCCCATGTGGGGCTCCCTGCTCAACGGGGAGTCTACTTTTCCCTCTCCCTCTGCCCCTCCCCACCTCCACTTGTGCTCTCCTTTCTCTCTTTCAAATAAATAAATTTCAAAAAAAAAATATGTGGTAAGTATGCATGCTCTCACTTTTATAAAAGTAAACATGGATGTTGCATGCACAAAAAAATCTCGAAAGATTGTCAATATTATGCTAAGTCATTTCCATATACAAAAAGACTATGTAATTAATAAACACCCATGTATTCACTGTCCAGCTTAAGAAATAAATTGCCAGGGAAGTTGCAACTCTGCATACTTTCCTCAATCACATCGTTCTTCCTCCCTCCACCCCCAGAAGACAACCATTATCCTGAATGCAGTGCTTATCATTCTGACAGTTTATTCTTTTACATAGATATGGCTGCTTTTCCTTACTTTTTATAGATATGCCTGGGTGGCTCAGTGGGTTAAGCATCGGCCTTTAGCTCGGGTCATGATCCTGTGGTTCTGGGATGGAGCCCCGGGTCTGGCTTCCTGCTCAGTGGGGTGTCTGCTTCTCCCTCTCCCTCTGCCTGCCCCTCCCCCTGCTTGTGCGCGCTCTCTCTCTCTCGCTTTCTCTCTCTAACAAATAAGAAAATAAAATCTTTTTTTAAAAAAAGGATATGCATTTATGTGATTTATATGTCTAGTAGGATATTTACTAAAATATTGATGGGTTGTCTACGCAGTGGGATCAAGGGAGACTTCTAGTTTGTGGAGGAGGTATCTTTCACATTCCTTATGTGTATTCTCTGGTTTCCTACAATAAGCATTTGGGCTATTCATTTGACAATTTATTGATTATGTACCTACCATGTGCCCAAACTGTTCTAGGTTTGAGAGGCTATGGGAGTGGACAAAAGAAAATGTCCGCCCTTACAAAATCTGCATTCTAGAATAATCTGTATTACTGATGCAATCGTTTTAAGACATAACTTACAACATAAGACATAACTTACAACAAGAAATAGCAAATCACTTGTCCCAAGAACATGGAGTGGAAAGGTGGCTCCCGAAAGGGAAGACGAACAAAGGAGGAGTGGGAAATAAAAACAACCTATTTTCTATGTACTTTTCCCAAGTCCTTCTCAAACTTCACTTCCCTGAACTGGGCTCTGCAGTTTTTACCGTCCTGAGAAAATGTCTGTTTCCATACAGTGTCCTACTTAGGGAAAACTGCTACTCAAATAGACTGTAATCATCTCTATTTATAAAGGACTTTGGTGCAATGATTTTGAAATTACACAGTTTGTAAGGAAATCTAAGCCATTGATTTAAGCCACAGAAACTCTGTGCTGATACCCTTCCCATGTAGGATGGTGGCATATACTGACAAAGGCGGGGCTAACAACCATTTGCAAGCATCTAGAAGGTGGAATGAGACACTGGAGAGCTGTCTCCCCACAGTTGGGAATGAAGATAACCCTAGAAAGCCTGCATTGATCTTTTGCTGCCTGGTAGTAACTTCTTTTTACATAGCCAAAGTCTGAAAGATCCCATTATCCTTAGCAACAATGGCTTCTTGGTAACTTGAGCCTGCCCTCTCTGACGAGTTGTTCCTCAGCAGCCCAGCCAGCCAGAGGGGGGTCATGGATCTTGCCACCACTAGAGACAATGGCATCACCCCTGAAATCTCAATTTGGAGCTCCCTCTCTCAAACCATAGCCTCCTATGGTCCAACTCCATGTCCTTGCTCTGAAAAAGACTCAGATCTCTCATATTTTCCTCAAACCACCCCCTGCTTTTGCACATAGACACGGTTCAGAGATGAATCTTGGACTTTACCTAAGACAAAGAATCCGTAAGAGATGTTCCTAATTTGCTTTTCACCATAATTTCAAACCCTTCTATATTTGCACCATTTGTTCTTTCTTTTAAAATGGAGGAGATGTCCTTCCTGTCTTTAAGAAGCAACCCGCCTACTTCTGTCCTTGAACCCCAGCTGCAGTCTCCCCTTCTCACCACTTTCAGTTTCTCCTCCACCCTGGGGGGTCTTAGATGTCTTTCTCTCTACAAGGACATTCCCACCAGTCCCCAGATATATTCTAGTATCTCTTCTATTAAAAGAAACCTATACCCTCCCTCATACTACCCTCAATCCCTTACCTCTCTCTGGTTACAGCCATTTTTCTATTCTGCTTCATAGCAAACCTTTTCCTTCTTCTTCTTTTTTTTTTTTAAAGATTTTTTTATTTATTTGAGAGAGAGAGAGAGAGAGCGTGTGTGGATGGGAGCAGGGGGAGGGGCCGTGGGAGAGAGAATCTCAAGCGGACTCCTGCACTGAGCGTGGAGTCTGGTGTGGGGCTTGATTTCACCATCCTGAGATCACGACCTGAGCCTAAACCAAGAGTTGGACACTTAACCAGGTGCCTCACACAGCAAACCTTCTTAAAGGCATTGTCGATGTTCCATCTTCAAACTCTCCCCTGAAGAATATGACATGCCCCTCAATCCTTTTAAAAACAGCCTCCTCTCTTGGCTTCTGACCCTTCATGCCTCCAACTGCTCCTTCTCTCCAGCCCCCTGAGCCTTCTCACAGGTCTCCGTGGCCCTCCTCTTATCTTCCAGACCTCTGAACGGTCCTGCCATCTATTCCATCTGCCCTACCTCCCTGGGTAGTCTCAGGCATTCCCACTCCCTTAAAGACCAGTTCCACACAGATGCGTTCCTGATTTTTCTGCCTAGCCCAGACCTCTCCTCTGCTCTTCACACTTGTAATAGCTCCAAGTCTACATTGGGCATTTCCGCTTGGAGGTCTCCCGTACATCTCAGACTTAGCATGTCCAAAAGGAAACTTTTCTCTTCACTTTCCATCCCAAACCTGATCTTCAGCCATTTTCATAAGTGACGTAACCATGTACGCGGTTGTTCAAGCCAACAACTTTGGAGCCATCTGGGACTTTTCATCTACATGCTAAATCCATCAGTAGACACCAGTGATTGCTCCAAAGCCCGTTTGAGATCTCTGCAGATCTCTCCGTCTCCTGCCCGAGCTGGTTTACGCTGACACATCTGTCCTCCGGGGCTGGGAGTGGGGTGAAGCAAGGCAGGTCCCCGAGGCACAATATTCAAGGAAGCCTCGGGAGAGCAAGTGCCTCCCTGCCTCCTCCTAACCCAGCCCCACCCAACCTTATCTAGCTCTGTTCCCTCTCCCCACACACACTGACCCCGCCCACATGAGAATTCTTCCTGTAGCTCCCTGGAAAACACTGAATTCCTTTTCGCCTTGGGCCTTTGCCTGGTAACACTCTCCCTTCTGCTCCTTCCGTGGCCTCCTCATCCTCTGGATATCTGACTAAATTTCATCCCCTGAGTAAGGCCTTCCTTGACCATTCAATCTCAAATACATACTCCTTCCTCCAAGTCATCCCTAAAACAGAGCATTTAATCCAATGCAATGGACTAAATCTATAACAATCTATAATTATTTGTCCATTTTATCTCTTTATGTAATTAATAATTAATGCCCACCATTTGAAAGGAACTCCTTGAGCTCAGTACCTGTGCTTGTCAATAAATCACTGAATCTTCAGGGCTGAACACCTGGCATACAGGACTGGTTTATAAACACTATTAAGTGAGTGAAAGATGAATGAATGCCTGAATGAACCAGGTTAGCCTCCTAGAAATTTACATTACAAAGATAACTTTATAGAGATAGAAAAAGGCTTAATGGACTTCCATCTATCGAAAAGGAGTTAACAATTATTTTTGAGGATTAAATGACATAATCGGCCAAAGCCCTTAGCATAGTGTCTGGTACTTAATAAACAAAATTAAAAATAGGATTAATTCTTATAAGATACTTTATGAAAAGTTGGGAGCTAGAGCTTGGAACATCATTTTTTTTACATATAAAGATGATTCATCATCAGAAAAGCAACTCAGTCCTCTTCACTAAATGTTTATGAGGCCATCTACTTACTACTTTGTACCGGTCTCCATGCCAGGTACCAGCTAAACAAACATTAATTCGATGGTTCCTGTCCCCTAGGAGTCACACAGTGTTGCTACGTCATAGCTTTTAGAGTCCTCTGTGGGCACGTGGCATCATCGAACTAAGGTACTGCCCAGCCCTACCTCCTCTCCCACACACCTTTGTGACTGAAACCATGGTGGGTCAGCCTGGGGCTCCACATGGGGGCAACAGAATTACCCTCCTTTGTGGAAATCTCCCAGGCTTGCTCTGAGTAATCTTAAGAGCTCAATGGGCAAAAGTTTATATTGCTCAATGACTGTTAACTAACTTCTGAAATAGTCCATTTTCAAGCCATCCTTCCACCCACATCCCCATCTGGCTCTACTTCCCATCAAGGGGCCGTCTCAGACTTAACCTTCACAAAAACTCCATCTGACAACTCAGCCTCCAGGAAGCCATTCCCAGTCCCCTAAGGCAGGGTTGTAAGCCTGGAGGAACGCTCCCCTCCGAGGCCTTGTTACCCCTGTCACAGCCCTTGTGGAATTGTTATTATCCACTTTCCCATGGACCATGAGCTCCTTTAGAGCAGCTTATTCACATCAGCACACCTAGCGCCTGGAGCGTACTAGATGCCCCATCAAATTATCATATATAAATGATACTTCTGTTTTCATGGTCCAGGGGCTTTGTAGAGTTGTAGGGGCTGGGGGAAGGGTAGGAGAAGCAAGACAATGGGGGTGGGGGACAGAGGAGAATGCCCATACTTGCAATTCACCAACTATGCAACAGATTTCTAAGATGCTCATGAAAATATAATATAAAGCCTATTTAAAACAAAACAAAGCAAAACAAAACACCTCTGTTAAGACATTTTGCCAGAGATTTTAAAAAAGGGGATAGATTTAAAAAAGGAAGGAGGACAGAAAAAAATGCTTATGGACAATACTCCAGACTAAAACACTACCTTCACTTTCCCTTAAACCACCTTCAAATTGCAGGTCAAGACCCATGTGTGGGATGCAAAATAATGTAATGGACTGCAATGAGTACTTGTAAAATATAAGTAGAATAGAAGAGGACAGAATAGAAACAGAGTAGAAACATATAGATAGAAACATATCATTTGTAGTGAGGGGTAATATTATTTCAAGAAACTTGAGATATGCATGTGCAGGTCATGATGTGATATTTCTTCCTGTGAGTTGTGGTTCACAGAAGTTGGGGACCCACTGCTCAGATGCTAGGGCTTTAGCTGAAGCCCTGCAGCTTGAGCAGCAGCAGGGTTTCCCGGCCGGAGAACTCTAAGGAAGAGGGAAAAAGAGGCAAATCTGTCCACTAAGGGGCTCTAGAGGAAAGGTGAAGATCTCAAAGGGTAAGCAAACACTTGGTACAGACTCCTGGGACTCAGAAGGAAGTTACGAACTGCTGCTGGAGGTTGTGACTCTCAGTCACTTGGAAGCCAAGTCCACCAACCACCTTACCTTGCAGCGTGCCCACTAGCCCAGTACTAACTCCTGAAATGATGTCACTAAGCAGCCATTCCTTGATTCGGTATTTGGGGAGCCAGTCCAAGACGGGCAGAAGCGTCTTCAGCACACCAAGGCCTCTCTTTCTTGAACAACTGTCAAAAGGCAAGAAGACTTTTTTCAATACCATCTCTGTCATGACCAATTGCAAAGCACAAAGTTTTGAGCAGGACTCTGCTGCTCTTTATAACCACTTAGAAAAAGAATGAGAAGCGCGTGTCAAATCCTAATGCTCCAGTGCTGACCATGCTTTTGCCAAGAACTCTACGCTTTTAAATGTGCTGTACTAGAAAACACAGGATTAAGTGTTCCCTCCCCTCTCCCACCTTTGTAATCCTCTGAGAAAATATCCCTACACAAGGACCCATTTTCTAGACCAGCCACAGAACGATCAATGTGGAGTCTCCAACCGGAGATTAATTTTCAGACTTCTAGCCCAGGCGCCTTCTTCTACTACTTCTTTCTCTTTAAAGAAAAAATAAACATGCTCTCTTTATTTTGGCAGTACAAGCTTGGAGCCAGTTTATGCAAAAATCTTAACAAGATAAATGTACACTTTGTTGTACCTTTCTGCTTAGTATTTTTTAAATTCAGCACCCTATAGTTAAAAGAAAAAAAATATGTTAAGAGTGGGTGGACATTATCTGACTTCCCATCTAACTGAACTTTTTAAATTATATTTATGAGACAACTGGAAATTTTGACTTTTTTCACATTAAGGATTATTTTTTTAGGTGTGATAAGGGGATCGTGGTTATTTTTTTAAGAGTCCTTAGAAATATATACTGAAATACACACAGACAAAAAGATACACAATATAGGATTTGCTTCAAAAAAAAAATAGTGGAATGGAGGCAAGTGGGTGGAGATAAAGCTTGTCTGTTGAAGCTGGATGGTGGCTAAAAACATGGAGGGGGCTTCATTAGTCTACTATGTCTGCTTTTGTATATACTTATGTTCTGTAATAAAAGATTCTTAAAAAGAAAGAAAATCTGGCGGCAGTTGACACTTCTCTAGTCCTTTTTGTGGTACCTAATCACAGGCCGTTTGGGTTTAGGGAGTGATGGCAGGTCTCCCTGGGGGTCCCACTGTCTGACAGGGGAGAACTTTGGAGTACACTCTCCTGGGTTCCAGCCTTCATTCCGGATCTCCGAATGGCGTCCTGCCTAGATGAACTTGGGGCTTTCAAGGACTCCTGGTTAGGTGATGGGTTTACCCATCATTTCTTTTTAATCGGGCCCCTTTTCCTCCACTGTCCTCAGCCAGACCTTCACGAGAAGGCCGCAGGGATCTCCTGTACCCCAACGCGCACTCCAGATGTCCCGAAGAGAGGAAAAAAAGAGAGATGGGGCACCCGGAACACACTGTCCCCAAAGATGAGTTTCCGGAACTGGACTCTATTCTGGCCGAGAATGACGGAGCCACCCTGCGACCAGGAAGGACAGCAGTGCGGATGGTTGAAACCCGGGCGACCCGGCAGGGTGGCGCGCCATCCCACGCGGGGTCCCCGCGCCCACACGCCGGGCCCCACTACTGCTGCCCGCGCCCAGCCCGCCGCGGCCGCTACCTGCAGCCCTTGGCCAGGCTCTCCCGCAGCGTGTTGCGCTCCTGCAGGCGCCGCTCGTACTGCTGCTGGAAGGCGAGCTCGCTGTAGACCGGCCGCGACACCACGTAGCTGCAGCTGTACTCCGGGAGCGGTGGCGGCTCCAACCTGCTGCCGGGCGCCTCCATGACCTGCGGGGAGGAGAAGGAGGAGATGGAGCGGGGAAGGATGGAGAGCAAGGGGCGGAGAGGCGACCGCCCTTAGCGGTCGCTTGGCCCCACCTGTTGCAGCCGCTCCCGGAGCGCCTGGTCTGCGCGCCGCGGTCCTGGCCGCTCCAGGCCGCCGCCCCCGGGCGCGCACCACCAGGCTGCGTCGCGGCACGTGAGGACCTTCGGGTCCCGTAGCTTGCACCTGCTGCCCGGGGCTCCCGGACTCTGAAGAGGGTGAGGCCCGCCTTGGGGTCTTCCGGAGCTCGACCCAATCCCCACCCGTGGGCAGCCAGGGCGCTGTCCGCGTCCTGAAATCTCCCCAGATCCCGGCCGGAGCCCGAGCGCGTGCGGGGACGGACAGGGACACTGTGAGCGCTCCTCTCGCGTCGCACCCGACCAGGGCACAGCCCCAGGCGCGCACCAGGAGAGAAGCACCGACCCCCGGGCGGGGCGTGGAAACTCAGCCACGTTCCCCGGGTCCCGAGGCTACGTGCTGCAGGCGGATTCCAGCAGCGGGTCGCAGTTCTCCCGAGGGCAGAACTTTGGACAGGTGGAGCAGACCTCTTGCCCGGGCCTGTTTTGCGAGCCTCCTTCTTCGCTCTCAGCTGCTCAGAAAGAAGGCTGTGCTGCCCCCTGCCCGCCCGTTCCGTGTCCCCGCGCTAGTCCCATCCGCGGCTAGCGATGCCTCCCGAGAGTTAAGCCAGAGCTGGGTGGGGTAAGCGGCATCCTCAGCGGCCAGCTCACCTGTGTCGGCTGGTGGCCCGCCCGGAATGCCCCCGGGACCGCCGTTCCGCTGCCTTTATAGCGCTCGCGGAAGGCAGTGAGACGTTTTATTTATGGAACAACAGAGACACCTTAGTCGAAGAGAGGGACGCAGAGGCAGCCGTCGTTCCCCACCTATTCTTTCCCTTCGCCGAACCCGGAAGGCCGAGAATCTCACTGGTTGTCACGCGAGGGCCCACGGGATCCTCACTCACGTCCCGATTGCTAACGCGGGCTGCGAAGTCGGGGTTGGGAGAGGGAAACTTAACTTGTTACAGGAGAGCAGAGCCCCGCCCTGTGTGGAAAACACGACCGCAGGGAGCGCTGACCTTGGCTCCTAGGTTGTGTGAATCGAGAAGCTCCGGTCAGGCTCTCATACTGCTCCGGCCGGGGTGGGGGTGGGGGCCGGGAGAGGGGGCCGGGAGAGGGGGAGGAAAGGAGCAGTGGCCAATCTCTGTATTTCTAGAGACGGTTTCTTCACAAGTACTCAGTGGGTGGTGGTTATAGAGAATTCATAATTTATTCATACATTTTAGATACATTGTTATGCACTTTTCTCTGTGTGTGTGCCTGTGTGTGTTGTATTTCACAATCAAAACCAAGTGTCCAGGGGACTGGCTTTCTTACCCTTCTGCCTCTTTGGTTCTTTCTATCTATCTTCTCAGACATCCAGGCAATTAAGGAAGGAATCAGCGGGACTGCACAGGAAGGGAGACTAGAAAGAAGTGACAGGGAGTCAGATGTGTCCTAGCTCAGCAGGGTTCTGTCTTCTGCTGGGATGAATGTCACTGACTAATAATGCATGTGAAAATGAAGGACGGGAGAGTTTGGTAAACAGGAAGATTCTTGCCTGATTGTCAGTGTTCTGAAGTAAATACAGAAGCGACTCGCAAAAAGACTGTGGACCTTCTGGACACCAGCCTGCAGTTGCTTAGCTGGAAAATACAGACCATGACAATTCTTCAAGCTCCAGGAAACAGTACTCCTCTGGGGAGAACCCTAGTGCAAATTCCCTGTAATTGTATTCCACATGGTGTGAGCGTGTGCATTTTCCTGACAAATGAATGAGTCAGCAGCTTTCAACAGATGTTCAAAAACTTACTTGGTTCTTAAATAAGGTTAAGGAGTGCCTGGCTGACTCAGTTGAAAGAGCATGCGACTCTTACTTAATCTTGGGGTCCTGAGTTCAAGCCCCGTGTTGGGTATAGAGATAACTTAAAATAAATAAAATAAATAAATAAAATAAAAATAAATAAAATAAAATAAATAAAATAAAGAACCATTGAAGAAGGGACCCAAAAATAAAAATCCAGGTCATGAACTTGAGAATTCTTATCCACTCACAGGGGAACTTTCGCTCGTACAGTTGACTCTTGGACAACACAGCTTTGAACCTCACAGGACCTCCTATAGGTGTAATTTTTCTCATAAGTACACTATAGTACTATAAATGTGTTTTCTCTTCCTTATGATTTTCTTAACATTTTTTCTCTACCTTAATTTATTATAAGAATACGGTGTATAATATATAAGTCATATAAAATATGAGTCAATCGACTGTTACGGGTAAGGTTTCTACTCAAGAGTAGGCTATTAGTAGTTAAGTTTGAGGGAAGTCAAAAGTTATCGGGGGATTTTCAACTCCACGGGGTTTGGACCCCTAGCCCTCATGTTGTTCAAAGGTCAGCTGTGGTTCTTTACTAAGAACCAGTGGTTCTTAACTGAGGGCTATTTTGCCCCTCTGGGGGGCATTTGGCAATGTCTAGAGACATTTTTGTTGTCATGCCTGAGGGTATGTTAATGAGATCTAGTGGATGGAGGCCAGGGATGCTATTAAACACCCTATGATGGGGTCAAAGTTCCTTTAAGATTCTGTATGTGACTTAAAATGTATATCTATTACTAAATTGCTATATGTACTACACATGTGCATCTCTCTCCATATATATAGTATACATATATATGCAGACTTTTTCTATAAGCAACACATTGTTGGATGTGTAACTCAACTACTCTGAAATAGAGGTAAATATTTGTCTTAAAGTAGACTGTGAATGTTCCCATTCTCTACACTCTCACACACAGCTTCAAGCTCCAGTTAAAACACTATCTTCTCCATGAACATTCCTTGATGTTCTCAATCAGAATTAATCCAGTTTTTTTTTTTTCTGAATTCTTTTGGTCCCTTAACTGATTCTCTCAAGATGCCCTTTGTTATCTACTTTAATATCCTAATTCTGTTTTCATACAAGTCTTATCTCCCTCACCAGACCAAAACTTTTTTTGGAGACCAAAAGTTTTTGAAGGCAAGTACTATGCCTCCCTCAACCATCATTACTATATTCTGTAATGTCTTCTAGACAGATATACTTATAACCCAAACATATTTCTTTAAAAAACTAAAACTTAAATTACATATTGGTCTACAACTTTTTTCTTTAAATTTTAAATTTTAATTAAATTTTAAATTAGTCTACAACTAATTTCTTTAAATTTTCTTTAAATTAAGTCTATGTCATTGATATCTTCCAGGTGAGTACATACGGATTTTTCCTAACTTTTGCCAATGACTGCTTAGGATTTCATATCATCAATTCATACAATTGGTTCCACAGTCATTCACCTAAATGACTCACAGTTAGTTCTTAGTGGAATTAATGTGGAGAGGCTCTGCACAAACACAGATATAAACCCACATCCCATTCTAGAATTTCTGCTCCCTGTTACTCGCTGTTTTGAACACTTCTAACCTGGGCCAGTCAGCTCTGCAGACCACTTGTATCAGAACTTAATGGGACTTTGGTGGTGGTGGTAGAGATCAAAGGAATAAGGAGTGGGGTAGAGGTGTCGGAAGGACAGAGGAGAAAATAAACTATCAACTTGCTCTAGAAGGCAAGGGGGTAACTTCCTTTGGAGAATAGAATTATTCTTTGAACTGCATCTTTCTATATAAGAATTTGGTTTAATAATCGCACCATAGTAAGTGCTGCATGTACCTGGTTAAAGATCTGTTTTCTTCTGTTAAATGCCCTTCCTTCCTTCTTCCCTCCCTCCCTCCCTCCCTCCCTTCTGTCAGTCCTTCCTTCCTTAACAAACCCTTGTGTTGAGAGCTTTCAAGAGATTACAGCAAGGGACCTGTTCTGCTACCAGTAAAACCCTGAAACCAAACCAGGTTGTCTACAAAGGGATGGATTTATTTATTTGAGGAGGGAGGGGAGAAGCAGAGGGAGACTCTTCAAGGACACCTCCCACTGAGAGTGGAGTTAGGAGTATGGGATTCTTGATCTCAGGACCCCAAGATCATGACCTGAGCCGAAATCAAGAACCCATGGCCAACCAATTGAGCCACCCAGGCACCCTTTAAATGCCTTTTATAAGAAAGAAAGAAATGATGCGTGGACAGAATGGTACCTCTCTTACAGGTTTCAATAAAAGTAGAGAACTGCTTTTCTTTTTTTTTTTTTTAAAGATTTTATTTATTTATTTGACAGAGATCACAAGTAGACAGAGAGGCAAGCAGAGAGAGAGAGAGGGAAGCAGGCTCCCTGTTGAGCAGAGAGCCCGATGCGGGACTCGATCCCAGGACCCTGAGATCATGACCTGAGCCGAAGGCAGCGGCTTAACCCACTGAGCCACCCAGGCGCCCCGAGAACTGCTTTTCTCATAGGTCTGAATCTGGCTCTCTTTTAAAAACAGAGCAAGAGTAGGATGTGCTAACAGCTTGTTCTCCCTGGCCAATTTATTTGTTACATTAAACACCTCAAATTACTCACTTAGGCTTTACAAATCAAGCTTCACCTGGTTCACGTAGAGGTGGGTGGTTCTTATTTATCAGAATTTAATCCTTTCTAGGACTTAAGAGTCTCTAGGCCAAAGAGATACTGTGTCACTTCAAAATAAGTATCAGACAATGTTACTGTTACTTTCCAGCACTTATTTAGCCATTAGTGCTGATTTAAAATGCATTTCTTATTACCATTTAGGTATTTGGAGTGTAAGACAAATCTCACTTTTCGATCTACACACTAGTTGGTTCATTCATTCATTCATTCATTCAAGGATTGATTAAGAACTGGTTCATGCGGGCCATGGTTATAATGATGAACAAAAGCTGCATGGACACTGTTCTCCTATCTGTGGGTGTAGCAGACGTTCATCAAATGGTCACAAAATATATACACTATTTCAATGATTCTAAAATGCACAGTTTTCACCATTTATCAGGACTCATCCTATAACTGAAAGTATCCTAGAATTTAATTAGCAGCATTTTCAATTTTTTTTTTTTTGGCAAGTTTTCACTTTTTTCTGGTCTAGAGGGCAAATTTATGGTGTAAAGTCTTACTTTCTTTGTTTCAAACCACTTAAAAGTTCTCCAATCAGAACTACAAACTAATGGAAATGTGCAAATAATGCCCCCAAATCTGTTTTGATGATGGTTTTGATGATTCAAAAGCAACCTACACTTTGATGTTTATCATCTTCTACCTTTGAATTGTAAAGTGTGTAGCTTATTTATTTATTTATTTATTTATTTATTTATTTATTTATTTTTCTGTAGAACCGAATTGAGTCCCTTCTGTTTGGAGGCAGTGTTTGGAACTTGCTGTTGTCCACATTTCAAACAGAAACACTGTTCACATCTCAGGTTGGTGCGGGGGATCAGTAGAAACTTTTTGAATAATCAGCTGCCTGGGGAAGTGGTCATTTTTTGCTGGGAAAATCAACTCTAAGCCTGAGCATTTATTTTCATTTTCCTAGTTGACTTTCTCAAGACAACAGATGCTAAATTTCTGCCATATGCATACACAGAAAGAATTTTGACTTTTTCTCACCTTTTCCAATCTCTCCACTGAACAACTGGACTGCTTTTCAGTAACCATACAATTTCGTATTCAATAGTTCTGTTTGTTTCCTGTATGTTACTTTTTTCCCTCTCCAGATACAAGATGTGCTGCTTGAAGACAGAAATAATATCGTGTATGTCTTTTATGGT